AGGCTTAAAGCTCTAAGTCTCACTCCTTTCTTTGTTGTTCCGCAACATAATGTGGAAACTTACGAATCTTTCCTTGATGCCCAAGATTCTATCACTGGCTTAAGGATTATAACGGCCCTGCAGCATGAGAATGAAGGCGAATTGACGGCTGAAATACCCGAACACAGCGTAGTCAGTAGAGTGTGGTCTGTCAAAGGTGGGAATGCATCTATGATCCACGTCCCTGCTCTTGGTCTACTGAGAGATGGAAGCCCTTACACGAGACTTTGGACTTCGTGGGCAGGGCTCACTGTAGCTGCTGGGTTCTACCTTCATGGACCCTTGTCGATCTGGGATACTCACCAAGCTGTTGAGGGTCGCACATTGTTCTGGCTCGTCCAGATGGCACAGAGGGATGTAGATGATAACGAGGAAGATATGATAAGAGGCAAGACCAATCGTGCTCTTTGGTTCTGGAAAGTTTTCACCATGGCTTTCAGTCTAGCTCGTGCATCATCCTTAGCACGAGTGGCTGGAGTAATTGAGAGAAGTATTGTCGGGGGTGAAGCGACATATGAGGCCCTACATTCGTGGTCTCGCGAGCGAATTAGAATATGGAGTAGAGTCACTACTGTGGTGGCCTGGACTGAAGCTCGGAAGACCTTAGCTACGATTGTTTGGCCTGACTCATTTCCCGGGGATGTCTTAGGTCAAGCGATCTGGGAAGAGGCAGTCAACAGTCGGAATTTTAAACTATCCAGCGAGACCATGGTAGACGTGCTGGCGGAGATGGATTCATACATCTGAGAGTTAACTGCTTTGTAAATGTACAGACCATTTAACTGAATATGACCCCTTAGAGGAGCTTTGGTCACTTCAAATTTCATCATCTTGATTATCTAGTTTCCTTCGTCCGCCGTTCGAACGTCACTCCGCAAGACTGCTCGACTATCGATAGCGCGACTAACACATCGGATTTTGGGAAGAATCCCATTTCGAGCACAATATTACATATAATTACCTCAAATAAACTGAATTTTAGAATACGATTTATCTAAACGTGAGGGCAGGCACATGGATTCAAGTTGGATATCACTTTATTATAATCTTAACACTATATCATCTGCCGCTTTAGATCTTATGTATATAATTAGGCCTCAAGAATAAGGGTGATCTCCTTAGGTCCTGATTATACAGTAATTACAGCATTCAAAGCCACAAGTCTTAGCAGTGGATGATACACGAAATGTCTAGTAGAACTGCTATCAGCCAGCATGGAAGACATTTTAACTTCCGAAGTGGGGTAATTTCAATCGCCGATACATTCTGCCATAAAGGCGGGTAGTAGTTTGTCAGTAGCCTTGGGCATACTACTTCATCGAGATAATTGCGGATTTTATGAAGGCTTTACCGGTACAAGCGTGGTTTCGCAAAATTATCCATTAAATATGGTAATCATGCATGAAGGTCGACCTTTTCGCATTGCTATCGTGGGCGGCGGAATTGGCGGCCTGTTCTGTGCGCTCGCGATTCACCATCATTGTTCAGGAATACCTTCCGAGATACAAATCGATATTTACGAGCAGGCCACGGAATACAAAGAAATTGGCGCTGGGGTAGGTGTCGGTGTAAATGCTGCGAGGTGGTTCCACGCCATCGGTCTAGGTGACAAACTTAACTCCATTGCGAGTCTTCCGTCTGGTATATGGATCTCTTTCAGACGGTACGACAACAGCGACGATGTTGTGACCATCCCAATTCATGATAGCCATAACATTCGGCAGGCACCTTGTGCAAGAACCGACCTACTCGAGCTCCTCCGACAAGCTATTGAAGATCGACAAGCGGCAGTGTTACATACCAGGAAAACGTGCATTTCAGTTGAAGACTTAAGAGACATGGTCCGTGTTCACTTCAAGGATGGCCTTCACGCTGATGTGAATGTTGTCATTGGCTGCGACGGAATTCACTCAGCAGTTCGCAGCCAGTTTACGGAAGACAGACCAATGTATAGTGGTCAGATCGCATATCGTGGAGTAATACCCATCACCTCACTTAAAAACTGGCACTTCGACTCATATAGCGTCCTTTGGCTGGCAAAACACAAGCACTTTCTGGTGTTTCCTATATCTCAAGATACTAAACTCAATATTGTGGCTTTTGTGACAAAAAGCGAGAGAGAGGTAGCGGACGTGAAAGAGAGTTGGACAGCTATTTGCGAACGGAAGGATGTTGAGGCGGACTTCGAGCACTTTGACGAGCCGGTACAACAAATAATCTCCCAGATGCCGGAAAAGCCCAGTAAATGGCGCCTAAACGACCGTGAGCTACTACATCGCTGGCATTACATGGGTGGCAAAGCCATACTACTGGGTGATGCTGCTCGTAAGTCACCACTTCATTTCCTCCTTTTATATCTGTACCACGAATCAAAAAAATAAAAAAAAGAGGCCAGCTCTTCGCTAGGAACGCATTTCGATATATCTTAAAAAGGGCTTTCTGCTCTTCCACTGCACAGGAAGTCGAATGCTAATGGAAAGATTCATAGACCCTATGCTCCCACATCTTGGCGCTGGTCTTGGGCAAGCAGTTGAAGATGGATGGGTGCTAGGATGCGTCTTGAGAGACTATCTTTGGCCAGGTACAGAAAATACGTTCACGTCTTTAGAGGCAAGTGCGCAGTTTTACCAAGATGTACGGCTGCCACGAGCACAGAAGACTCAAGCTACAAGCCGGGTAGCAGGTGACACGTATGAAATGCAAACAGCGGATCTATATGATAAAGGCTTCGAGGAATGTCTTCCAATTATTGCCCAACGCACCGCAGAAAGGATGAAATGGGTTTGGGAGGAAGATCTGGATCAACGGTACAACACGATGAGAGAGCAATTGTTACGTTGAAAAGTTGCAAAAACAGTCTACTCAATGTTGAAAACATTGTCAACTCAAATTTCTATGGAACATGATCGTCTCATCAACAACAACGTGAACTCAACAGTTCTGTAGATATGTCTATGTGGCTGGCTATCGTTCGCCGCCGCGTCCCTTCCTAAAGGAAACACCCCCATCGGGGCTAGATAAACGGCCGAAATTTGATGCATGCATGCCATTCATCGAGAATCTTGACCACCGACCACCACTCAACAGTCATTATGATTGTTCAATTACTCTTATTTGCTGTAAGAATGTTTATTGTGTCACTTACTACGGTGGAGTGATCATCTCATTTTCACGAATTGTTATAATGATAAGATACTTGCGCAGCCAGCCTTTACCTAAGTGCTCTTTGTACACTTCGATAGGTACTCTTTTTGCCATGTCTCTCACTTATAATAGGCTGCTGGCCTCGCGTCTGTACTAGCCTACGTTCGCGTCGTTCAGATTGTCTGAGTTTGCGGGACATTGAGCGTAGTCAAGTTCCAGGTCTTCCCACCATCTTGACACGACATCTTCCCACCAGTCGCCTTGTATTGCCAATTTTCGTTATGATAGAAATTTTAGTCTGCCTTATTTAAAATGATAGATATATTCTCCCATGCTATGAACTTATCAGTGAATGTCCCCTTCAGAATAGTTGCGATAAACTCGGCATTTTGAGACATACTGTGGGGTGGAGCAGGAGCACAATTGCCTGCCGCACACTCTAACCGAGATGTAGAACATCGTCCCATGATGTCCCTTACCTATAGAGTTTGTTGGTTGCTCACATATTTACACAGCCTTTCTTGACATGGGTTACATACTGGTTGATATCGAAGACACTATTGTCTCATTGACATAGACATCTTGATCCCAGGAGCTGGTGTTACCGTTGATTTTGTCTATTTTCTCATCAGTCTTGCCCACTATCATAATCGAAATTGCATACAGTATGTACGAATGCGAGTTCCAGGAGGCGCGACTTTTGGTATGCCGTTCTGAGCATTCTGAGAGCCTGGCCGTGGCAATCACGTTTCAGATATCATGTACTTAATATAATGCAAGGGCTTCCATACGCACCCACAAGCATATACGCAAAGGTGCACCAGTTTCGTCCAAGATTAGTGCAGTAAGGGCTATATTAGATTATCTTAGTTACATTCGTATGCCTGCAGACCATGGATTCAAGGAGTGATGAAATACCTCGGTCGTGAGTTTTCGGTAACGCCTTGTAGAAAGTCTCTCTTGTCGGTCATGATGGCGCTCTATAAAGCAACGTCTCCTGTCATCGGCGTTGACACATCACTAATAATAAGTGTGCCTTCTGCTTCCTGGATCCACACTCCACAGCCTGTATTTGCATTGAGTGTCACCAAATCCAGATTACCATAGCAAGGGTTTGTAGTTATCAAAAGCAGCGTTACAAATGCAAATGTCCTCATGAGAGCAGCCATTCCAATAAGTTGATATTTAGAAGGCTTCTTACCAACACGCCGAGTAAGTTTCACTGATGTCGTGAATGAAGCATTCGGACATCTGGGGATTCTGGTGGCGGGGCATAAGATCCATGAAAACATTTGTGCTATTTACCCATCCCCGCTTATCAAATGAGGAAATCTACTGGTAATTATACTAAGTCCAAGGCGGCAGTAACTTTGCTTAGTTTGCATCAGTTCGTCCTCACCGTTTGCATCACACGGCATGGTGAGAGATCAGTAATCACTTCCGCTCCGCTTTGATTCAATTGATATTCGACAGATGATGTGATCAAGGGCTCAATGACAATCCCCTCCCTCGAGTGGTAATGCAAGAAGTCAATGGAAGTATTCTAGACAAGAGATTGCCATATATCTTAGCAACAATTAACTACGCCATTATAGAGACATACAATATAGTTAAGATGCCATCCTACTTTCTAGCACACTAGGAAGGTATGTTAGATATCTTGAAGACGAGCTTATGTTTAGCAAGGTTTTGCCCGAAGCGATGTGTGAATTACCTCTATCTCACCAATCAAGTACTTGTGACCTCCTCAAACAGATGTATATTCATTCGACAGCTTTTATTTTCTTCAGTACTCAGTTACTTGTTTCCCTTCGGTTTTAGACAAGATCGCCACCGTCACACCCCGTTAATCCACCGGCTTCTAGTCTGCTGAGCGCATTTCTAACCTCCCATTCCCAGTCACTGAACGCAACAATAAACCACTCTAGCAGACCGACAAGATAGAGGGCAATACATTGTCCCAGCCAGAGGCCAGCCAGACCCCATCCGTTGAACGCAAGATAGATGCCCAGGGGTAAGGCACCGCCGTAATAGCTCAGCATGTTTATGACAGCGCCTACACGCTGCTTGCCCATGCCGCGTAGAGCGCCACCACAGCTACCATTGAGGCCGTCAGCGATCTGAAACAGTGCCACAAAGGGCATGACACGTGAGACCAATTCGACGATGTCGTGGTCGTCGTTGAACAAACCACCAAAGACATTTTTGGTCGCCATGAGGACGGTAAGTATCAGGGCTCCCAGGAGTACAGACAGAATCGCAGCACAGTTAGCAGTATGGGCAGCCTCATAGGGCTTTACAGCGCCGAGGAGATTGCCCACACGGGCGGATGCAGCCACACCGAGGCCAAAAGGTATTGTATTGATGATTTGGTCGGCGGTCATGATAACAGATTGGGCTGCTAGTGGTATAGTTCCTAGTTTGCCGGCGACGAGAGCCACGATCTCAAAAGCCCACCACTCTGTGCCGACATGAATAACACCCAAGAGAGCAAGCCGAGTGAAAGGCCAAAGGTGAGCCATTGCTTTTCGCAGATCCAAGCCGCCCCAGCATTCTTTGCCTCTTATGAATGCTGTATAAGCGACGAGAAGGAGAAAAGAGCACCAGTATGCAGCTCCGGTAGCTAAGGGTGCGCCATAAAGACCCAGGCGAGTGCGGTGAACTAGTATGTAATTCAGCAGTGCATTCAAAGGTGAAGTAATCATGAGTACATAGGTTCCCGGCCTATAGATTTCCTGGGCTTGCAGGTATTTTTTCAAGGATTCGAACCAAACATAGCCGAGGCCACCGGGGATCAAGAGACGGAGGAATTGAGCACTGTCCCTACAGATGAATTCCTGCTGTCCAAGTGCCTTGAAGATGTATTCAGAGTTCCACCATAACACAACTATGAGCATATACATCGTAGACAAGACTAAAATGGCTCTTTGTAGTAGGATCCCAAGGTCACACTTATTAGACGAAGCTGTGAAGCTGGTCGACGCCAGCGTGTCGAGGGCAGTCGTCCCCCCTAGTGCTATGAGCCATGCCGTAGCCATGGCAAACATGTATGAAAATGCTGCCGTTGCGAGCGCCTCAGGCGACAGTCGGGCTACCACTAGCACACTGACCGTTTGTAGGCTGTTCTGTAGGGTGTACGCCAGTATGATGGGAATTGAGGCTTTCGTGAGGAGCCATATCTCTGAAATCCAGGCTTCCCATCGAAGATTCCTTTGCCAGACAAGACTACCAGATCGAGATTTGAATAGCAAAGGGGAGGACTCATTGGCGATGACTCCTGTCGTCGCGGCGGTTTGCCTTGCCATCTCTATACGACAAGATATGATTCTCGCTAGGAAACTACTTCATGAGAGAACAAAAAAAGAATAAAAAGACTATGACACCTCATTCTTAGTGTAAACTTGTTAGCCATTCGTCAAAGGGAGATATCTTGCCTAAAGTAAGAATATAGTCGAAGGTGGGGAGAGTCTGTATACACCACGATATCTACATAGAAAATTAGCCCGCGTTTCCGCGGCACTCCGAACTCCGCTTGCTTCCGACCATCACCCAAGCAGGGGGCTGCTCGGCGAAAAGTATGCCAAGTTCCACGAACGTTTGATCTAGGTTGCATTCTAGAATTATACCGTAATGACTGTATTAGTGCACTCTTTAGATTGTGAGTACTGAGCTATAATGTTGAACAAATGGCTATTATTGTGCCACAGATTAGCCAGTATTGCCTTAATTCAGGAGCTGAAAAGTATCTACAATAGAGAAAAGCTACAACCGAGTGATGGAACTAACTTTTCAACTTTCCTTATGGCAGCTTTTCTTTCAACTTATGACTTTTGTATCCCAACTCGCAGAAAATCATCATACTTTGACCCAATTGAACCCAACTTGAGCATGTCTGGCCGCCAGGTTAAAGATAACACTGACACACATCGCAATTCCACAAAAGGCTTGTAGTCCCACGTATTTCCCGTCCATCTTGCTGACAAGCGCACCAGCGATGGGCGAGCCGGTTAGTCCGCCCAAGGCTTGGAGCAGGTAAGCGGTACCGGTACGGGTGCCGATCTCCCTGATGTCAGAGATCTGAGCGATACACGGTGCCCCGATAGATACGTAACCCCCAGACGTAAATCCAAATATGGCACCGTATACTACAATGGTGGCAGATCCTTTGCCCGGAATCCAAAGCGCTAATGTAAAGATCGCTGAGAGCAATGTAATGATGATCATTGTATTAAAACGCCCAACGGCATCAGCGATGAAGCCAGGAATGATACGACCAAGAATGCTAGAAAGGTTATAATTAGTATGCCTCATTCTAAGTGCGTGGTCTGAGAGTGAGGTATTCTCTACTGACCTAACTCCATTGATTATAGACAAGAGATACGGCACCAAGTCTGGCGACATACCAGCTGCTTCGGCTTGCAAGGTGACATAGTTAAAGGGAATGAACATTCCCAGAAGGAAGAAGAAGCCAGAAAGAACAGTGAAGAAGAAAGCAGGCTCTGTCAGGGGACGAATGTAATCCCAGGCCCTCAATGCTTTAGGTCTTGGAGGAAGACGGGACGTGATAGTGAGACATGCGACGCTACAGAGTGCTAGAAGAATCAAGGCAACTATGCGAAGCGTCCATGGAAAACCTAGCCTGGGAATGAGGTGGTTGAAGATAATGGGAAGAATCACGCCGCCCAGTGACGAACCCGAAACCAATATCCCCATGGCCGCAGCACGTCTTTTATGAAACCACGTAGTCGCACAGGTCAACGACACGTTGAAAATGGCTCCCGAGCCCATGGCGCTAACAAGTGATTGCGCCAAAAATATCTGGTAATATTGAGTAGCCAAGGAAGTCATCATCAAGCCGAAGATGTACATTAGACTCCCTCCGTATAGAAGCCACTTTGGCCCGTAAACATCGTAGAGACGACCCCAGGCAATCGCACTGCCCGATTGAAAATATAACTGCACCGTGACAATCCAGCTGACTGTGCTCGAACCATATGAGCTCAATGGCCCTTCGACATAGTACGTTAAGAAGACGCCGAGACAGTTGACGAGGCCAAATGCAGCAAACATGGCGCACCAACCCCCAAGCACACAGAGCCAAGCATCTAGGCCGCCATCAGGAAAATCTGCTGGCAGATCGCTCAAGGCTGAGGGATCAGGCAAGCCCTCTGAATTTGCCGTGATACTTCCCTCGGTGTCTAACACGACAGTGATCTTGGTTGTCTGGGTGACACCCTCGAGACTGGTCTTTGATAATTGTTTATGGCAAACATCGACGCCTGATGCGGAGTGTGGTGGAATCTTGGGCTGTGGTAATTGGATAGCGCTTAGCCCAGTGATATCTTCCGCGTTCTGTTTTGTTTCCTCCATGGTGTCTCTATTGTAAAGATTTGATTGTTTGATGCCTCGTATGTCACATGCCTCAGTTTCGAAAGTTAGTCAACAAGATATACCTCGTTGACGATTAAGCTAGAATAAGTAGTACCTGTAAATGAAGTAAGCCGGATGAAGTGAATGTGCATCCTATTGTGATAATCTGAACTCCAGCTGGGGCCGAATGTCTTATTCCTTCCCCCCGGCCATCGCTGCGAAGAACCATATCTGGTTCCAGGCCATACCAGAAACGTGTCAACCAATCAGAATACATTAGTCGAACGCGCCTCCAAGAGCCCGCGGGATCCCGCGGCCCATTCGATCGAGTGGGCCACTTAGAGGTTCCACTCTAGAAAATGATAAGCAGTCCTCGATAACACAACCTCGAAGCAAGCGAATGGTCTATCAGTCTCCATTGGTAATGTCTAAAAGTACCGTGACTCAAATTTAAAAGTGATACGGAGGCCTGACATGCACCCCTGCTAAAGCTGATATCACGGTTTGCATACCAACAACAGCCCTTCTCAAAACACAATGGCAATGGCGAGCTCAATCAAGGCAAAGCCATACAATTGGCCACATGACTCTTCCTTTGGGTGTAAGTCGAGTGCCTTGATAGTCGTAGATATGCAGGTAGACTTCTGCTCACCTGGCGGCTATTTGGACTTCCAGGGCATCTCGATCAAGCCCATGAGAGCCATCATACCCCAGATACAGTCGCTCATTGAAGCCTTTCGTGCAACTGGCTGCACAATCTACCACACCCGAGAAGGCCACCGGCCCGACCTATCTACACTATCAAGCCGCGAACTCTGGCGCAGCCGAAACAATCCTAGTGGGAAAGGTATCGGCGATGATGGCCCAAATGGCAGGTTGTTGGTCCGCGGGGAGAAAGGCCATGATATCATTCCGGAACTGGCACCTCTCCCGTCAGAAGCTATCATCGATAAGCCTGGTAGAAGTGCCTTTCAATACACGGATTTGAAACTTCTGCTTGACAACCGTGGCATTAGGAACCTTGTCATTTGTGGTGTTACCACAGATGTATGTGTGACTACCACTATGAGAGACGCGAGTATGTTTACTTAGACATGGTACTCGTATGGTGCTAATTACGCGGTAGACGACATGGGCTTTGACTGTGTTATTGTCTCGGATGCTACGGCCACGGGTCGCGAGGACCTTCACGAAGCTGCCTTAGGGACCATCTGCGAGGAAGGCGGCATTTTTGGTGCTGTCACGACCACTAAGGACATTCTCGCTGCGCTTACAACGCGATAAAAGAAAGCAAGTAGCACATAATTTTGATAATGAACACGACGTAATATTATATTCGAATACTCAAACTTCACATTCGCCTTAGTCTTATGTGACACCAGCGACATGCTTCATAACTTGGGTGTGTCCACCATTGCTTCAGTAACATACCATTTTCTTCCATTTATCATTATAGTCTCTCCCAGCGCTCTTTCTTCCGCTGTCATCCACCGACACGGGAGAATGCCCATCTCAGATGTATGCGTGTTGCTCCTGACATCCTTCGTCCACCTCTGCTCGTCTTCCAGATAATTCCATCTCTCGAACCAGAAGTCTTCGCCGTGCTGTAGAATGCCTTGGCAGTAGTCACCTATCCTAATGGCCATACCATTAGCGTTTTTGCCATCGACGGACTGGCTTTTCTCCAGCTCGACAACTGCGCAGGGTAGCTCGGTGGAGCCCATAGTAGGTGTCACCCAGTACTCCTTGAACATCTGCATCTTTCCATGAATTATCATGCAGCCGACCTCCATTCTGGCGCCGTCGGCGAGCAATAGCAAATCGGCACCGTCTGTATCGAAGCTGCGGCTTGAGTCTATGGGATGCTCCCACGTCGCATGCACCATACAGTCATACGGCGGACAATTGCCTTTGCCCGGCAGGATGGTAGCCGTGGATAAGCCGGCCGTTGCATAGCCCCAAATCTTGTCTTGATTCTTGATCGCCAACGCTGCTTGCGAGCGTGGGAGTGTAGAGAAGCGGATATCGACGTATTTTCCTGATGGCGCTGTGAGAACTATCGTGGATGAATCTTCTGAGGGCGCCTCATAACCAATGGAAAAGCCCCGACGGACCTCAACGAGCGGCCGCTTAAGTAATTCTTTTGCCCACGGCGGGAGCGACATGTCACCTGCACCGACTGATTCGCCAGAAAGATGCATGTTTACCATTCACTCCGTTCGTATTCCTTGTATGACTGGTTTTTCCTCCCCATGTTGTTGTTTATCGTTGGCTTGAAGGCTAGAAATCGATGATATTTACAATGACCGACCTCCAAAGTTATTGTGTTAGTGCGTTTCCGACCTACTGGGCCGAAGACCGCGGCTCCTAATCTAAAAGATAACAACAAAGTCGACTGTGGAGAAGCGCTATAAAAGCCCCGCGGCTTTCCGAACCCTGCACACAGAGATAAGGAAAAGGTCCTCAACCATGTCCCTAAATACGTTCCCATGTTCTGGACGCGCTGACATGGAGCCTCCCGGCTCTAGAAGAGAAAAGCGGAATGGAGTTGAAGGAAAGCTAACGACTAGCAACTGATAAGCATCTCTCCCTAACTTGCGTCTATCTTGAATTACACGGAGACGTCGGTTATATCAGTAGGGGGCCACCCAGGAGCCTCCGGAGAGGTCGTCCTTCAGACATCCATCGTTTCTCTATCTCATTGTGTCACATCTTGGTCTGCCTGATTGCCTACCTTTCAGTCGAGACAATCATGACATCGTCGGACAAGATTGAGCGTCCTCCCTCTGTGGCAGCTTCTGCTGTGGAGGGTAAGGTCATTGACCCCGATGTTGAGAATGAAAAGTTGTACTATATGGGGTACGAGCAGCACATGAAGAGAGGATTCAACTTCTGGTCTATGATAGCCTTCTGTCTCACTGGCCTGGGACTTCTTCCTAGTCTTGGAGGTACGCACTCCGCCTTGGCCTCGCTAATCCACCATTCTGACCTGAGCTGACGCGCACGGAACAGGCACAATCTGGGTATGCACTATCCGCGCTGGATTCGCTATCTCAGCGTTTTGAACTGAGCTAATTGATGCGCAACAAACAGTATAGCTTGGGTTACTTGGGCCTGTTGCCAATGACATGGGGGTGGCTGGCTGCATCTATCTTGATCATGTTCCAAGTGCTTTCCCTAGCGGAAATGAGTTCATCTATGCCCACAGCAGGTGGATTGTAAGATAAACCCTTACTCCTTGACTACGCACAGCTTACTGACCTGCTCTCTAGATATTACTGGTATACAATATTTGCCCCACCCACTCCTAGTTCCAAGACTTACACAACTTGAAGGACTTTTAAGAATGCGCCGCCGAAAGCCAAAAGGGTTGCTAGCTGGGTGACGGTAAGAAAATCACCCTCTCACTCAGGAGTAAAAACCATCGTGCTGAGAGTTTCTCTCCTAGGCTTGGTGCCAGGTTCTAGCAGCATCTTTAGGGGGCGCGTCTTTCTTCATGACCCAAGCAGATATGATTCAGGCGCTTGTTGTCATGTTCAACCCTGACTTCGATCCTACTGACTGGCAGACTTATCTGGTAAGCCCTACCATATTTAAATATACCATGCCAGAGATACTACACAACGCCAGACTAACATTTGTTCAGATTTACCTAGCCTGTATCATAGTGTCAGTATATCACTCAACAATTTGTCCCCCTTGATTGCTATCCCTTTTTCCTAGATTGGCATTATTGACATATTGAGAACAGGTGCGCAATTGTCATGGTGCTTCCTAGCAAGATTCTTGGACATATCAGCAACGTATTCGTTTGGCTTGGTACTCTCACATTCTTTATTCTACTCATTGCACTGCCAATCTACTCCAAGCGCAGCGGAAACTACAATTCTGCCAAGGATATGTTCACCTCGAGCTATAATCAGACTGAATGGTCTAATAAGGGCCTTGTGTTTCTGTTAACGTTTCTGACGCCCTGCTGGTGCATCAGTGGCTATGACTCAACGGGTGAGTACCGTCACCTAGTCCAACTTTCCATTCCTTGCATTGTACAGCGACCACTAATGTAATCAAGCGCATTTATCCGAGGAGACGCAAAATGCATCCACCGTAGTACCTCGCGCCATGGTTATCTCATGCGTTGCAGTCGCTGTCCTGGGATATATTTTCAATGTCGTGCTGGCGTTTGCAGCCTCAGACATCGATGCTATCTTAGGGTCGCCTCTTGGGCAACCTCTAGGTGCTATTCTTGTCCTTGCTATGGGTAACGGGGCGTTGGCCAAGTTCCTTTGGATCTGCACCGTCTTGTCGAATTTCGGTGTCGTTTTTGTCAATAATACAGCTGGTACTCGTGTCTATTTTGCCTATGCGCGAGACGGCGCTCTACCGTTTGCCAAATGGCTAAGCCATGTTAACACGGTCACAAAAACGCCTCTGAACGCTACTATGGCCCTATCGACTGTTTTCGCCCTCATCGGTCTCATCTCTCTGGGATCTACAAATGCTTTACGTGCTTTCTTTTCTGGATCCTCTCTGGCCGGCGCTACAGCTTACTTGATGCCTATCTTGATGAGGTCAGTACTCAACCGGACCATGATATTGCCATATCGAAGGGGATACTTACTACTTCTAAATCAAGGTGTCTCTATGAGGAAAATCCGCAATACGTCCCCGGTCCTTTCAGTCTTGGAAAATGGTCGAGACCGGTACGATGGGTCGCGGTAGCTTGGGGTCGTAAGTGCAAACCCATAGTGGATGCCGTGATTTTCCAAGTGTTTCTAACCACTGCCTTGTCTCTTCTAGTCCTTACTCTTCCACTATTCTCGTTCCCGTCGACCCCGAATCCAGATGTTAACTCCTTCAATTGGTCTGTCGGCTTTTACTTGGGGCTTCTCTGCCTTATCTTGCCCTGGTACTTCCTGAGTGCCAGGAAATGGTTTACTGGTCCGGGAGAGCGGGAGCATACTTCTTAAGACGCATGATAATATATGAATTTGGAGAACAGGGTTATGGTCTCGGCTGTTCCAAATGGTTGATAGACTTCTCAGTTTTGTGCCTGTATCTTTAAAACTTAGATTCTTTTGAATCGCAATTGGTTGTCGTATTGAGATGGGAAGTAGTTTAGTAGCAAAGCCGAATGAGAATAATTTGACGAGACTTTCATGGTTTTGTATACAAGGACATTGTAGGGTAAAGAGGCATTGACACACTTTCATCTCCTGTTCTGCATGTACAACACAGTCTCCATTTAGGTTCATCATGAAGCCTCGGATCGCAAAACAATCCATACTTTGGCTGTTGACCATGTTTGGCTCACTATATATTACGAGGTATTAGGACACTGAGCTCCGTACGTAACAGTATGTATCCAATTCATGCTCATTGTAAGTTATATATAGACAGCCCTATCAACGGTGCATCACACAAAACATCTGGGTGATAGTGAACAGATGAAATTTGATCGTTATGCTACATCATTTGCAAAATATCATGATTAAAACCTCGCACGTAATCAGACACACACAAATGGCAACAATGAGACCTCTGGAAAAGCTGGTACGAGACTATTGATTATTCGGAGTCTGGCGGAGTTAGAGGGTCCCTCCAAAGCGGCTTTTCTACAGACCGAATAAAGGTGTCACGGTAGCGAATTCCTCGAGTCGTATCATCCGATTCTCCATCTCTGGAAGGAAGCACTGGGGAGATGAAAGCATCCCAATTCGGATCGAAGAAGAGAGGGATCGAAATGCGTAGCGAGTCCGAGTTGTGACAAACGCGATGTAATGTAGATTTGTAAGCGTTTCGAGTCCATTCAGACAGCATGTCACCGATATTGCAAACATAACAGCCCTGTTTGAATCCATGTCAGCCTCAGCTCTTTTCAAGCTCGGTCCAAAGCGGTATGATTACCTCCACTGGGTCGGCCCAGATCCATTGTCCTGTCTTATCCAACACCTGTAGAGACCTTTTGCTCGAGTCCGTCAAGAGAAAAGTGAGGATTCCAAAGTCTAGACAATCGCATGTTAATAGGCGATTACAATAGCAGGCTAGATATCAAAGAGCATACCAGTGTGCGCGCCAATTCCTGCGTTCTCTTTGCTTTTGGACTTTCTGCCCTCATAGCCTAGTATACGAAGATTCCAGAAAGCCTTGTCAACACGAGAGAGAAATATTTCATCAGCGACGCCAAGACCCATAGCGAAGGCCTTCATGACCGAGTTCCCTAGCATCGTCACCTTTTCGATGTAGGTCTCCGAAAGCTGTTTCAAGTTGACAGGAGTCGAAGGCCATTTATTTGGGCCCATGCCAGTAATGTAAGGTGGTCCCGTGGCCTCTACAGGACGATAGAAGTCTACAGCCTGATAAATCCTTGTAAATGGTGATCAAGCCTACTACAAAAGTGGGTAGATTAACGCACCTCGTGTGAGCCAGCGTCTGGCCGTTGTACTCGCAGCCACCCACGAGCATTGTCTCCTCCTTCTGCTGTCTTCCGTAGGGCAATTCGCTCCTTTTCTTCCGGTGTTGCCTTCTCGAAAAACTCACGTGCGCCATCGAGCATGGCGTTCATTAGCTCCAGCGGAACTCCATGGTTTCTCAAGTAAAAGAAGCCAACATCACGACAAGCCCTGTCGAGCTCGGATGCGACATTCTTTTTGGCCTCGATAGAGGCATTTGGGTCCAGAAATGGCCCAAAATCAATTATTGGTAGTACGGGTGCCATAGTCATCAATGCTTGTGAGACTTTGATTGACAATGGCAACAAATTTCTGTAATTGTTATCGGACTCTCATTTAGATATCAAAGGACTTGCAGCTGTGACCAGGATCCCCAGTCAGTTCAGAGCCGCCTCATTAGCGAGACCCACACAGGTCGAGGACCCACGCCGAAGTCCGCGGAGGCACGCCGATATCACACTCTCTTATCTACGGTGCCCCACGCTCTTCGTGTACTGTAAGTCGTTATCTAAGGTGCCCCGCGGGTCGCCGCGGGAACACCGAGCCAATCAGACCGTCCGCATCTCGAGCATTATCCTCTCCCTAATCCAGTAGACAGTTGAGAATGATTCTCGCTGCATCGATACCAGTCGGCGGACTAGAGGCATGGGAGGGGCAGGTGGGAGAGCTTAGGGGGACTGCATCAAAAGCTTGAGGGGTTCACTCTTTCATGACAAGCAATAATTTGACTACGCTCATTGCTCCTGGCTGCTCCCAAGCTTACTCTTACTCACATCAGTAAATGAACACAGCATAAAACTGCCCAACATGCTATCGACTACGTTCCTTGCTCTCAGCTGGGCAAGCACTATCCTAGCCCATGCTGGGCATGAACAGAAGCCCGTATCTGGTCCGCACCAGTCTCTTTGGTATCAAACCATTCCCGGTGATGGCGGAACACAGGCAAGCAGACCCTCGGCACAAGTAATAGGATATTTGGATGACTCTCAGACTTACAGTCTCACAGGCCGACTCGGTTTTCTCTGGTATCTCAACGTTTGGACGTTTGCCATATAGGCCGTGCCTAGACCATAGAGACATTCAATATGACATTGCTTTCATTGGTCAGTAATCTTTTTACATATGAGAATACGGCACTGAGGTGTTCATAAACTCTCAGGAGCTCCATTTGATACTGGCACATCTTACCGCCCTGGTGCCCGTTTCGGCCCATCCGGTATTCGCCAGGGATCCCGAAGACTCAACCTATAGTATGTCTGGCTCAATCAAGTGCATGAACTACGAGAAGCTGACTAGGCTTGATCAACAGCGGCGGCTATAATGTACCTCTTGAGACAAATCCGTTCAACAGCTGGGCTACAGTTCTAGATTGTGGTGACATCCCGGTAACAAGGTGTGTGATTAGCATGACTCTATGACACCAGGGGGCTAATATGTCTGTAGCTATGATAATACTTATGCTCTCCAGCAGATTGAAGAGGGACACTTTGAGCTTCTGTCCCGTGCACCAGTCACTGCTGCCAAGGAGAAGGGCCCAGCGAAGAAAGACAAGACACTTCCCCGTATTATTACCCTTGGCGGTGATCACACAATCACACTACCCTTGCTTCGCTCGATAAACCGCGCATATGGCCCTATTTCGGTCATCCATTTCGATAGTCACTTGGATACATGTAAGAATCTATGTTTTCTCACTTAATAACATGTACTCCAATTCTATCTTGGTTTCTCTGTAAGAGGTAGACGTAAGCTAATCATGCACTGCAGGGCGGCCCAAAGTATTCGGTGGATCTCCATCAGAAGTAGCCAGTATCAACCACGGGACCTACTTTTTCCACGCCGCTATGGAAGGTCTGCTATCGAATCACAGTAACATTCACGCTGGCATTCGGACCACTCTAAGCGGACCAAGCGATTATGACAACGACGGTTACTGCGGCTTCGAAATCGTAGAAGCGCGCGAGGTCGATAAGATTGGCACAGATGGCATTATCAAGAAGATTCTTGATCGGGTTGGGGATAGCCCCGTCTACCTGTCTCTTGACATTGACACACTGGATCCAGCCTTTGCCCCTGCAACCGGCACACCCGAGACAGGAGGCTGGACGACTCGGGAGCTGAGAACTATCATCCGGGGCCTGGAAAGTCTCAACATCGTGGCTGCAGATATCGTCGAAGTTGCTGTGAGTTGCCATTGCCGAAGGGTCCCTAGTTTATATGGATTGAAGACACTGACAAGCGTGAAACCCAGCCCGCGTATGATACAAACGCTGAGCTCACTACAATGGCTGCCGCCGACGCTTTGTATGAAATCATGAGTATCATGGTCAAAAAGGGTCCTCTTAGTAACATGGTCACTGGAGGTGAAGAAGTCCAGGACTTGTGAGCTGAGTATCCAGTCTCTAATTCCATTTATGTGATATTTGAAGGGTGGGATTCATCTGAATGAAGTGGCGTGAAGAGAGGCATGTAGAGACGCCAAGCAGGATACAATGAGACGGTAGATCTTAGGGAGCTCTTTTCGAAAGTGGTAAGATTCTTTCGACAATATCTAGTACGCTTGGTCCACTATACTGCAATGATAATGTCAGAGAACTTTGACCGTTAATTCATCGTGGTATACCTCTCTAAATCTGGCGACCTACTCATTTGCGTCGAAGTTCCGAGAGCCAGAGACCAGGTGCTATTTGCGTCAACCACTATAATTAATGAGGCCAGCTCGACGGACTAAACTCCGACCAGCCTACCATATTCATATACCCAAAATACCAATTTGCTGCCTGGCTCGCCTGGGGATCTATCCCTGGAGAGGCGGGCTCGTAAGATGCTGTTTGAAGCCCCAGGCCCATGGCATGAAGAGCCTGGTCATCTATTGGCAACAATCCAGCCTGATTCAGATATGCTTCGAGCTCGCTGCCCATCATGTTGTCCCGGGGTTGACCATGGCCGAGGCTGTGATGCTGCGCCTGTCCCGAGGACTCTTGTTGGTGTTGCTTCGCCTCAAAGTAGAGCACTGCCACATTGAAAAGAACCTCACAAAGTCGATATAGTCTGTCGACGGGCTCCGACACGCTCCGAAACGGCTCTAGCGAGGTTTTGAATTTCTCGACCCGTTGAAGATCGCCTGCATGGCAGTTCTCGATAGCATGGCAAAAAAGGACAATGAAGGGAATAAAGGGGGAGAAGAGTATGGCCCTAATGGAGAAAAATGAGCCTAAAACATCATCATGCGGCCAATTGCGGTGGTCGCTTAATTGAGCCGTCCAAAGCATTGCAAATGTACTCACCAATGCATATACGCTGGAGCTAGTTGAGGATTGTCTCGAAATAGCTCGGTGCATTCCAGGTGCAACTGCACCACATCTCTCGCACAGTCAATACACTCCACGCAAAACATTGACGATGGGCCAGGAGGAGCAGTCATGGCTCCCGGTGGGACAGCCCGGTAGACCAGTGTGAGTGTAGATAGGATTGAGACCTCGTCAGACTTGAGCAACATGGCCGAGATCGCATCACTGCCATTGCTAGCCAGTGAGGGGTCGTTGTCTAAGCGCTTCCTGGCCTCGGTCAATTTTTCCACTTCGCGTAGAAGGATCTCTGCACATGTCCGTGCCGATTGGATGCGATGCTCAACAGGCTGAAGTAGCGCGATAGGACTGTACAGGTCCTCGTACGTCTTGGCCTGAGCCTCGGCATGGCGGAGCCAGCCTTCGATAGTCTCACAGTGTTCGTCGAACTCACCCAGCGGCCCTACCTTGCGCGGTAAGGTGATATCGTAGTCTTGCAAATTTGATGAGCGGCCGAACCGAAGTGCAAGTGCTTTGTCAAGAATGTACACCAGCCAGAAGCGAGCCGCTCGCTTGTTCCTCATATCCTCAGTTTCTCCTGGCAAGAAGTCCTTGCGATGATAGCCCAACGCAAGACAGACCTGACATGCAGCGGCGTTGAGCTGCCACGCTAGCGATGGCTTTGAGATTTCCGTGGCATAGCTAGCTGCCATGATGAGTGCCTCGACAGTCTCCTTCCGCGGCGGCATCAGCAGGCCCAGATTTGCTATAGCTGTCTCCAGGTTATCTCGACACAGATCACAGTATCCGCGATAGGTCGCTACCGCGGACATGTCTCCAGTCTGCACTGCCAAGGCCGTCTTCTCCTGGAAGATGTAATACAATCCCGCATTGACTGACACGAAAGTCGCTTGGCTGAAATTCTCCGTGGGAAAGTATACCTTCTTACACTGGTCGGTGAAGTACTCGACGCTATCGAAGGCGCAGATCAGCGTGAAGGTGACAGGCTTTCGCTCCTTGAGTTCCCGAAGCACATCAACTACAGCCGTGAGCGGCGCCATGGCCAGTCGGGACAGCCCGCCAGCAGGCAGTGGCTTCGCATGAGCAAGGTGCGTCTCACTTGCGGTATTGTGCTGGCTCTGCATTCGCAGAAGCTGTTGCAATGAAGATATTGCAACGCGCATGTTAGGATGCGCAAAGTCAAGCGACGTGTAGCGTGTGACGGCATCCTCGACAAACTGCCCGGCGAAGGCAGCGTGAGCGGTCACCGAACTGTTTCCCTGAAAAGCCGAGCCTCCATGACTCCTGTCCGGATGTGGATCACCGGCTGCAGACTTCTCGGGTCCATGAGAAGCTACATTCTCCAATAAAGATGGAGATGGGAGTATGGAAGAAGGTCTGACTGCTACGCTAGACTCGTCTATGCTATTAGTGTTAGAGGAGCTCATTCGGCTCTGGGTCTCAGCGATCTTCTCCACGAGATTTGTGATCTTGTCAAGTCGAGATTCGATGTGGTCTATCTTTTTCTCACTGAAATTATGCGGCCAACCATTAGCACCAGATTGTAAGGATTGCTTGAAGACACGAGTGAGAAAGAGAGTGCGTACTATTGCGACGAGATCAGCACCCGCTGACGTGGTTCTCTAAGTCTTGGACCATTACTGCCGGTGAATGAGCAATGGTACCTAGCCGTCTTGCAATTTGCACATGGGCTTCGCCTGTCGCAGCGAACCTGGAATCAGATGTCTCATAGTTAGTTGTCTGGGCTGGGTGGCACAAACTATCGAGGAGAGTGAAAGCGGCATGCTCACCTTTCGCAGTCGGCATTGATCACACTTTGTAAGATTGACTCCTGTAAGCATATGTATGTACACAGATACTGGTTCCTGGGTGGAACGTTTTGATTCGTGCACCCTGAGAAGGGCTTGGAAGACCACACGACGCTTATCTTCAAGGCCGAGGGAGGAACGACGATGTTTATGTGGGCTCAGGCTCGGGCTAGGGGTGTGAATTGACTTACAGCACGTCGCAAAGCATCTCCATCATCAACGGGGTCGCCAGGCTCGGCGGATGAGTCCATCATCACCCTCGGGATGAAACGTCTCCAGCTGGTCACTGCAAACGGCCCACGAGCCTTTCAGCTGTGTTGTCAGATTGAAGAGATTCTTGTGCCCCCGAGTGCTCTAACTACCTAGTCTAGGTACTAATACCTAGGGTCTAGTACAGAGGGTAGAGCCCCGCCAGTCCTCAAATGGCCCCTTTATGTCTTATCTGTGGGTACCGAACTAGCTTACTAGTCTACTTGGGTAGTGCAATCGCTCACAAAGTCCACCACTAATTCCAAAGATTGAAATCCGACGTTACACGATAGATAAGACTGTAGTGACATTGTCAGCATCAATTGATGAGTATTTCCCAGCATAGTTTGCTTTTGCTTGACGTCTGGCCTCTTCCTCGAAAGCAGGTATGTGCATGTCAGCGACTAGACGGCTGCCTCAGTGTTACGTATTGCACTGTCAGCTACAGAGCTCGCTAAAAGAATGCTGTAGCCAAGCCCGTGGTCTGGTGAATGGACAAAGTATGCACTGTACGACCCCAACACTCCGTTCTTAGTGTATAAGTCAACTATGCGCGTTCCAGAGGTCGTATTCGTGGGGTTTGTTGATAGTGGTAAGGTCATTCTGCGTATTTCCCAAGGCATTCCTACAGATATAGACTCATCCGCTGTGCCGGTTGGTGGCTTCAACCAGGCACGTGTGACACTTGGATCGAGGAGAGAAGACTTTCGTGGTAGAAGAGGGAAAGCCGGGCTTGGGGGTAGTTAACTGGACAAGGGGCGACGTCGATGTATTACGAATGTTTGCTCTTGTTTCCGGTATACCATTACAGTACACCCCAAGTCTGAGGCTCTATCCGATGAACCCAGAAGATGGAAGCTACAGGGTGTTTCGAGGTGTTTATGAAGCACTCCCTACAGTAGAGTCAAATGTTTCAGCGTCTGCAACTCCTAATGGTGTATTTGCAAGTGGTTGTCTATCCTGGGGTGCAGTGGATACCCCATCAATACGGCAACATTGGCTTTGATGACTTCATTTTCGATGTCAATGAGCAAGGTGAAGCTGTGACGATCATGCCAAAAGTGGTGAGGACAACATTTCCAAAGCAAATATGAGACAATCGAGGTGTTACTCTGATTGGAAGAGCAACAAAACATTTACTTTTGGAAATTTGTATTGAGACCTTTTTGAGGATTCGCTACTTCAATGCAAGCAATCGAATGGCCTGGCTTGACGACAAATTATTCGCTGGTCTACAAGTCACAGCTACCAATAATATTGAACTAAACTAAGCAATGCCAGGCTTCAGTGTCGAATGGCTGGACAAGGCAGACTATATCTATCAAGCCTTCAATGTGGCTTAGATCCTACCTGCATCAACCCCTCTTTCGCTCGCTTCTAGCTTTCTTGAGACACCTTCTAAACTGCCCGATATTCCTGTCTAATCAATTGTTTCATTTCTGTTCATGGATGTCTTATATCTACCGAGTATAGCACGAATTCCTCTGCACCATCTAGATGAATAAATTTCGATGGATGTGGAAGACGAGCAAGTGCCCACGCCGGCAACATGCATGGCATCATTTCAGACCAACCTGCATAGATCAGCGCCCGCTGGAAATAATGTCTTCACGAGAGCGAACGTCTTTGGTATCTTTTTGGCCCTAAGTTTCTGCCTGTTGACCCAGCCGCATGGAAGTTTGCTGTACATGAGGCCATCACGTATCCCCGGTCGAATTATATTCTTCTTCTGGAGTTTGAATCCTCTTGCCTGCGTGGTCGAGGCGCTCATTATACTCTACGTCTTCGTTGGAGGCGTTCGTGCCCGCTGGTATCACACGCCACATGACCAGCCAGTTTCAATGACTTTCAGAAAGAGGTTGCAGCTTACAGCGGATGCGATCCTCTTTCTGAGGAAGTATACTTATCTTCCGGAACAATGGGCAGTACTTGCAGATAGACGCCACTGGGAATCAGTCAGTGTTAACGAAACTCGACCACTAGCGGCAGCCGCTACGGCAGAGTCTGCGGTCGTACCTCCCGTTCTAGAGTACTCGACCGACATCGTCGACGAACAGAGGCTCGGTTATGAGAGACAGGCACCAATGCGCGAAGCTCCTCCTCCGCCATATGCACAAACCAGAGAATCACAGCAAACCTCGAGAAGCACGGCTGCTCGTTCCAACACTTCATCAAATGCTTTGCCAAGACCCATCCAAACAGACACTCAGGTCGAAAACGGGCAGCAACTTGACTCGGAAGTTCAAATCGTCAGCGCAATCCGTTCATTCAGGTCCAGGCGCTCCAATATTGTATTTACCAGTGCGGAACACCTGATACATCTGGTGTCTGTTGTATCTGTTATTGTGGTCATTGTCAAGATCGCTGCCACGGACATCCCCGTTTACATTCACATCGCGACATGGTTCATGATTGGCGGCTGGGTCACGCTTGAGCTCCTCACCATAATTTGCCATCGGCAAGTAGACGCCGAAGATTTTGCAGATGAGGCGGACCTGCTCAAATACGCCTTTGCCTTTCAATCCCGGCTACTTGCAAAATCTATCTGGAAATGGCTTTATTTCGTGTGCCTTCCAGTATTTCTGTATCTCAGTCATGCCGCCTATTACGAAACAGATGGTCTTGCCGGTTGCACTCAATGGAGGTCTTTTGTACGATCTCAAGTCGTCAGCTGGTTCCTAACCAGTATCTTCTGGTACAATATGATCAAGGACTTCAAGGCAAAGCTGAAAACCTGTGGTCCGCCTCAGATTAGCTTAGGAGGCTGTGTGGCACCCGTGTGCAGACAAGTCGAACCACCTAGGCTTTCATCTATCGTGTTGGGACTTGGCATTCTCGCAATCATGATAGTCGTAATGTCACTCGCCTACGCCTGGTATTTGTTGGAGGCTTTCGTGAGTGACTGTGCTAGCAGACCGGAAGGCCGCGCATGCGAAGTCCTACTCACATCGAACACTGCTTTTTGGATGTCAATTTGGTTCTTCGCGCCTATTGCTATATTCTCCTCATCTGAGTTGTTAAATGGTCGAATAAGGCAAAAAACAACAAGCCATGTTCAAGTTGTATCTCTTATGTGGAACCTATTCATAACGACAACATTCTTTGTTATAGCCATGATATTATACGACTCCGAGAAGACATACAAGCCAGACTGGCTAGATTGGCTGGGAAAGATGCACAGGTCGATGCGTGGCCTAGACACTACAGATGTGATAATCACCTGAATAAGCCAGTTGGGCCCCATTCTGGATATTTATAGTTGATAGATTTTACGGATCAATAGATCTGATGCTTTTTTATCTAATACCCAACGCCAATGACTGTTCTGAAGCAACTTCTATCAATTATAAAGCAATACTCTTCGTTGGGCCACATTTGAGTAGCTTTCCCTTCTCTAAGACAATCTCGTAGTCTGCATCTTTGACTGCTTCCACGCGGTGAGCAATGGTGATGACCGTGCTTTCTTTAAGCTCTTCCCTAAGAACTTGCTGTATATAAAACGCCGTCTTCTTGTCAATGCTTGCAGTGGCTTCATCTAGAATAACCACTGGGCTTCGTCTCAATACTGCGCGACCCAGTCCCACAAGTTGCCTCTGCCCCTGACTCAAGTTCTTCCCGCCACCATCAACTCGACTCTCGAGAGTGAAATGGCCCGCGCCATCAAAGACGCGTCGAAGAACCAGAGCACATTCCTCATCAGTATGCTCACCGATAGGATCTAGATTATCCCGTAGTGTACCAGGGAAGAGGACAGGATCTTGAGCGACGAAGCTGATCCGTCGTCTCAACATATGTTTGTTTACGTTAGTGATGTCAATTGCTCCAATTCGAATGGTTCCATAAGCAGTAGCATCTCTCTCCGGTGGGATTGTGCCCAACAGAGTCAGCGCTAGGGTACTCTTTCCAGACCCGGTACGGCCTGTGACCGCTACCGTAGATCCAGCAGGGATTCTGAATGAAAGATCCTGCAGACTAGGGTCGAGATGTGGTGCGTATCGTACCGTGACATTCTCAAATATCACATCGTCTGCATACGATGGCCAAGCTGCAGGTGGTGAAACATTGCCCTCGGGTTCCTCCTCCAAATCCATGAGTTCGATGACACGTTCGACAGAGACGAACTGCATCTGAAGCTCGCCATACCTTCGACATAGCTGGTGGGTAAACTGAACAAAGTTCGCTGCCGCTGTAAGAACGAAACCAACCGTTCCAGCACTCAGACCAGTGAACAATGCTGTCATCGTGAGCATGAACGTCGACAGGGCAGACAGCGTATCAAATCGATATTGTAACCATGCTTGCAGTGACCAGTAGAAGTGATCCATCTTCTGGAACGCATCGGTTGTAACAATAATGCGGTCTTGGAAATGCGGCTGAGCTCGAAATGCTCTGACAGTCGTGAGACCCTCCAAGAGTGTGCCAAAGTTCGACATGAGAGGACTGAGAGATACCATCTCAAGACGCCGAAGACTCTGAGATGCTGGAAGAAAGCGTAGGAAAATGTATATGAACATTATTGTCATAAGAATTGCAATAGCGAGGAATACCGGAGTGGCCGATCCTATGACCACAAGCGAAGAAACCCAGGCGATGAAGTACCAGGCAACGTTTTGAATTTGGTTGACCACTTGACCATCGACTGTACCGATGTCTGAAGTCAGGCGATTCATTAGACGTCCAATAGGTGTAACGTCGTAGAAGCGGAATGTGGCATTTGTCACTTTCCGCATGACATCCTCGAACAAACGCTTTCCCGCGGTGTAAATCAACAGAATAATGAATAGATCGGACACAAAGAACGATACAAACTGGCAAACGGCAATGATAAAAAACCAGAATAGCCAGGGTCGAACGTTTTCGTCAGGTGGCGGCAAGCCGAGATCAATATCCAACCATTCGCGGGAGGCTATCGTGCTGATGTGGTATTCCGGGGCGTTACTCGTCATGATTATATCCGAATCGTGGTTATACGCCTCGCCCCAAATCTTGAGATAATAGAAATGGGCCATTCTTGAGACACGGAAAATTCCGAAGACAACCATAAGAATGACCCAGAATCTTAGCTTCCCAGCCTTTACATACTTCCAGTAGACTGAGGCCATCACGCCGCCGGTGGCACGGTACTCTTCTCCAATGACTTTTACTGCAGTTCCATTGCTTCCCAATGTCGTTTGCTCCTCATCTGCGGTTTCAGGGGGATCTTCTGTTGCGGTGAAGTGAAGAAGCTCGTCATGCATATTGATCTCATCCCGAGTAATAACCTGAACGTGACCGAGCGGACTAACTTCGAACACTTGGTCGGCATATCGCGTAAGCAAGTCCATACGATGCGTGACAAAAATGATCATACGCCCTTGAGCAAGCGAAGATCTAGTGAAGAGTTTCTTGAGAATAGTCTCAGCAGTCTGATGATCCAGCGCGGCTATCGGATCGTCCAACAGTAAAATTCTCGCCTTGCTGTAAATTGCCCTTGCAAGGGCCACGCGGGCCTTTTGTCCGCCTGAGAGACCGACACCATTCTCTCCCACAAGATATTCATCGCCGCCCTTGAAATTGCTGATATCGGGGTTCAAGCAGCAGGTGTCGAGCACCTCCTCATACCTAGACTGGTCGCATTCCCTTGAGAAGAGGATGTTATCCTTAATACTCATGCTCTGCAACCAGGGAGACTGTGCGCAATATCCAATCATCTCGTTGGGCACAATTCGTTTTCCACTGTTTTGATCCATCTCGCCGAGTATAGCTTGCAGGAGAGCAGTCTTTCCGACACCGACACTTCCGCAGACTGCTGTCAACCCTGTAGAACATGACACGGAAACATGATCTAACACAGTCTTTTGAGAGCCTGGCCAACAGAAAGATGCATTGATAATTTCAAGTTCTAGTGGCCCATGGGGTTCGTCACGGCTCTCCAGGCTGCTGGGGTCATCGTCCTTGTTTGGCTCTGCCATGAAGCTCTCGATCCTGCCCATAGCTACAGCAGCATTTAAAAGAACAGTTATTAAGTCCGGTAGCTCCCGCAGATTAGAATTGAGCATGGTGAAAAGATTTAACGCCGGGAATGCGATATCGACTGTAAGTGGCTTCTTGCCAATGACTGTGTAGGCATAAAAAGCCACCACCGGAAACATGTAAGCTGCCAGATGATTCATTGCGGAAATGATCTTAGAGAGCAGATTTGATATAACTCTGTAGAACAGCTCCTTTTGACGGACTTCGAGAATTTGATTTAACCAACGATCCTGCCAGTCATACCAACGAAGGTGGCGGATAGCTTCGACAAATTGACTCGTGATTTGTAGCTTCAAGTCGGTAATTGCTCTCCTGGCTCGTTCCCAGTTCACAAGTAATCTAATGATCCATGAATTGATCAGCTGGACAGAGATGATGAGAATAATGCCTAATAAAGATGCTGGTCCAATGATCCGCCAAATGAGAACGAGGGATAGAATGAAATTGAGCGGTTTGGTGACCAGGTTTGGAAACTCCCAAAATCTTTGAGCAATCTCATACACGTCATTTCGCATGAGATTCAAGATTTTGCCTGTCGATGCCGGTCCGTTGTGACCTGAAATATGGCCCTTCTCGTCCTTATGATCACTTGGAAAGGTGAAAGCCTTCCTGCGCAATGTCTTTTCATACACCATGGTTATCATCTCACCTCTCGATCTTTCATAGGCTCGTCGACAGAACCACAGAGAAAAGATACCTGATTGTGCTCCAACGAGTCGCGCAAATAGGATGAAAGCTGCGTATACAACTGCTACTCTTCTGCTTGGCTGCTCTGATTGGAGAGCTGCGAGGAGCTGTTTGAGGAGCACGATCTGGCTTAGGGATGCCAAAGATTCCAAAACGCCCAGTGACACCGTGATTATAAGATCGGGACCGTTAGCCTTGACAAGGCGCCGAGTGACCGATCCCCTGACCTCGCGGAAAAGGTTGTGAAGTCTATCATGCTGGAACGAGTACGGCAGCAGCCACACATCCTCGTCATCGAGCCGCCTCTCGCATCCCATTGATATCAAGGGCTTCATCCACGAGACCGACATCCAACGCCAAAGCGAGAGGTCGTCTTCCGGGCTGCGAAGCTCTTTGGTTGGCTGGTCGTATGCGGGTGATATCTCACTATTGTCGAGGCAAGGGTCCCTCATTGGCATGTTCAGTAGGATGAGAAGGGACGCGAAAGACACAGCTGTCTCTAAGCCCCACACAAGTCCTGTCTGCCAAGTCATCTGTTGAGGCAAGGTCGTGAGCAAAAGCAACTGGGTGAGGAACAGAGCGGCATGAATTCCAAAGATAGCTCCAGCAAGACTCCTCGGGCGTTCGCCTGCAACTATCATGCATGAAATAGCCTGTATTGCGTGAGCAAGATATTCCAGTCATGTCGATAATCATTGAGACTGCCTACACATGGTAAAAGGGGTATCAAAAACATAGGGCCCAAATCGAAAACGACTGCGATCACGCCCACAGCCATGCCCAGCAACGAGATAATGAAAAGTGTAATGGCAGACGCTCCCCAGGACTTTTGCTTTGAGGAGTCCATTTCATCAACCGCGGTGTCGTCTTCGGCAGCGAAGTTCCTCAGCCATAAAGGTCGACGCCGCCAGAGGGGCCCCAGGCCATAGCGAAATAGCACAATGACTAAGGAGATCCATGTTGGAATCCACCCGACAATGCCGAGACACTGGTCTCCGAATGCTGCAAGCTGGGGAATCTAGGTGGTATATTAGTAGGAAAGATGGGTTTTGAGATAGATGGATAGTGCTTACCCAAAAATTCGAGCAGCAGTGGTAGCAAGGCCAGAGGTTGTCCAAGCCATTGGCAAGAGACGGCCAAAGGAGAGGCATCACAGCGCAGGCAATGGGCAAAGAACGACAACTGAACTCATCGATACGTGCAGAGAGTGAAGGAGGACGAAGCTGTCAAAACAAAACAAGCATTCACGAAGGAATGTCCAAGTGGCGGTCTGCAGTGAGTGATGGCAGGGGCTATGGGGAACATCTGGTGACTCGACTCGACTCAGGGGACTGCATGAATCTCTGACCGGTCTGAAGCGCAGGCTCCGGGATGTCAGTGAGAAGATGTGGAGTGAGTGAATGAACGAGGGAAGAGGTTGCTCGGTGATAGCAACGCCGCAGTGAAGGATGAAAGTAGTAAAAAGACTCGCCGCCCCATTGTTCACTTCACCTTGCTGCGACCGACTGACTCGCCGAGGCCAACGGTTACAGGATTAGGTCACTCACGTAAAATGAGGGGCAGATCCGATGCCGCAGCCGAACGGTCGACTAACGGATGACGTGCCACTAACTGACATGGCCTACCTAAACTGGAAATAACCAGTCACTCTTTTGCTCCTTCACACTGGCAGGCGCTTCAATGTCAAAACCTGGGTATAGATAGCCTGTAGACGGGTCGGCGGCGTGCAATGATGCCTCTCTCTGGCTGGGAAATGTGAGATGTTATAAAATGCACGGGCTATCGGACCAGATCGCGACTTTGGTGGTTGCACAACAGCCGTTCTCGGGCTTCACCACCGGCGTCGTTCACCGTTCCGCGGCAGCTGCAGCGCCCGGATCAAAGCCTATAGGCCAATCAGACCGCCACTCAAGAACCTTGGAACGCACGCGCATCCCACCCAAATACGGCTGTGTGGAGACCGAGATTCGTGTCTAAGCCCTTTGTCAGTCTGGTCGCTGTGGAGTGGAACAGGTGCATGGTGAGCGGTTCTCCAGCGGACGCGTAAGTCTCGCTTCCTTTTCTCGTGTCTCGCAAACGGACGGCAGTTGTGAAGTACAAAGAGACGGTATCGGCTGCTGACTGCAGGTAGTAGGAAATCATGATTTCTGGTCCTCATTGAAATACAACGCCCCCTGATCATGATCTATGCCTGACCTAGATACAAAACGCCATTCCCTCGTTTTAGAGACTGTGCCATATCCGATTCCTCGATGCTATCCTGGACCATCCATGTGCCGAGGAAAAGCAGTTCGCTCCAGCCAAATTGCTCCCATAATGTACAGTTAGCCCCCTTTTGAGTCCGTCCAAATCTTGTTATACACTTCAGTTACTTCTACCCATATTGTCTCACAGTGCTCATGACCTGCGATATGGCTCATATGGTCCCGACCCCCAACCTGCCCCGGAGTAGTGCGTATCGTTCGAAGGCATTTCCACTGGCCGTTGTGGCTCCGGGCCTGGCGCCGGCATCTCGTAGACCGCCGTCGGTTGCAGATTCGGAGAGTGCGCGTACGCATTCGTCAAGTCATTAGGAGAATGCGGGTATTGGCCGTACCCTGCCTGTTGACCATAGCCCGCTGGCCAGTTGGCAGTCCCCCAATCTTGGGCGTACGGGTCGGTCTTCCAGCCTTGTGTTGGAGCAAAGTCCTCCGAGCCCGGTTGCGTATGGATGCTACCGGGACCGCCGCCTCCGCCCGGAGGCTTAAGCGACTGTGACAGCATTGGGTGTGCCTCTTCCTGCCCTAGGCTCTGCCGTCTTCGATATCGCAGGACAAAGAAGACTATCGCGCCAATAATCGCAAGACCGCCAACCACCGAACCTGCTATAATCCCAACCCTCGCGGTATTGTTGGTGCTTTCGACATTTTTATCGTTCTCGTTTCCACTCCCCGTCTCTGTTGCTTGTCCTTGTGTATTTGTAACCGTGGCTGTGATTGTGCTACCGCTGATAACACTTGTCACAACAGACACTGATGGCGACTCGGTAGTGCTCGTCGCCGCCGCCGTGGAAGGTGTCGGACTTTTGATTTTAGTCGCAGAGGTAAGCGTTGATGTAGAAGACTCGGCGGCGAGGAAATCGGCCTTGGATATGGAGAGAGGTGTATCGGAATCGGAGCAGTGAAGTGACATAATCTCGTAAACGCTTTCAAGGTCTCCAGAGTCCTCCTGCGCGACACATTGTGCTGTTGCCAAAACAAAGCCGCCGCCATTCCCACACAAGCATTCGTTCATCGCCGAGACGGTATCTCCACTGCAGTTACTCGCGTCGGCCGCATCATTCAAGCATTGTTGGGCACCCTCGGGGTAGCTAGAGAAGTCGTTTTGGAAAGCGGCGAAGGCGGTAGTCGCAAATTCGAGAAGAGCGAGGGCAAGCGCCACTGCGCTGATTGTTCGTCTTGAGAGCATATCTTGTTGTATGGGAGATCAACGAGCGACGGTCATGGGACTGGGCGAGGCCACAGGAAAGCGACCAGCAAGGAATTAGAAGCCTCGACCGTCCATTGATTCTGTGTGAAGCAGGCTCTCAAATTCGAGATCGAGGAGATCGAGAATCGAGCTGTGCAGGCCGCCCAAGATCAAGAAAGCCTATCTGCTGGTGCGGCTGGCTGGGCTGGCTACCACTAGCTGCGGCCCATCAGCCAAGCCAATTTCCTCCAGCCATCATTGATGGCGTTTTACTTAGCCTCGGCCAGAATTCGATTCATGCTGACATCTTTGAGATCGTCGCATATCAACTTTTCTAATTAATTGAAATACATCGCAATTAGCTGGGAACCTAGCAAAAGCTTGAAGTCTTAATTCAACGGATTGAAAATTTCGAGAGGATCCAAATGCAAAAGCTGACAGGCACTTCACGATTTACCACCAGATCCGTACGGCAAAGGGGGAGATATGGCAGTAGCCAAATGGGGGTTAGCGGGGGATGCTATATTTGGGTTGCGAGTGTTAACATCCCGCAGGACTGGAACCCGCCTCATCCATCCACAGGTCTCCATCAGGTAGATACATGGTAGAATAGGTCTCTCCCATAACAACAGCTTCATCCAAATAGAATATTCGCATGATGGCCATCTGCAGTTGGGCTTTCTCTAAGTGCATACACATCATGTAGCCTGCTGACCAGAACAAAAGTCAGTCGAGAGCATGAATGATATTACACCCATACATCAGATTACAGTATCTTACTTCTCGCTCAACACGCTACACGCACATCTCATTCCAGGCTTTCTCGACTTCCATATTCCCTGCACTGAGAAGACAATATATCTGCCGAGTGTCACATTATTCCATCCTAGTCATTGAAAGATGGTGGGCAAGAAGAAGGCGGGGAACCTCAGTTTCACAAGAGATCATCAACCCCACTTGCAAGTCACTTCCCATTGCACCACTGAATGTACGGCGGTAACGATCATCAATGTTCAATCCCACAAGGACAAGTAGTTCCCTCTCTGTATTTAACCATTGTGACGTCCCTTCTGTATCTTGATTAATCCCTTATGGAATCACCGACGTATCTTGGTATTGGTTCATGGACCCAATTTGAAGCTTGGGACTGGTGGCTAATTCGGTTGGCTTGGATCGCTCTAGCTAGGTATCCAGGTAGGGGCCCTTAGAACCACTTCCTTTATGAACCTTGATAACAATCATGTCCATGAACCAGAAATACGCGACGAAAATCTTTCTTGTAAATCAAGTGCTACCGTCCTTCGAGGTTAGCTGGCCGATAGGTGTTTACCAAGGTAGGGTAAGGTGGTTTGCGCCTTCATGTCCTTTTCTTCCAGGACCAGGGCTCATAGTGCCGCAACTTACCCTTCAAGAACAAATAATGCTCGCATCGATTCCAGAGGGCCAGACAGCTTTCGCCGCATATCTACGGAAATGATGCTCCATGTTGCCGTACTACTCCTCGTGCTTCTACCTAAGCATCTCAGCGTCGGGTATGGCCACGATTCAGAGTCGTCCGAGGCGACAGGAGACCTCGACGCCAAAGCGCCCTTCGGAATCCCACCGAACAAGTTCAAAGAGGCCACATCTAGACCAAATTCATCCGCAGCATACCCCATTGCTGGCTACGATGTCTCCGTGCCCGCTGGCCAAGATCCCAGCGGAAACGGCAACATGATCGACGGATGGAGGCTATCTGCAGCAGTCGCTGCCGACGTGGCTTTGACAGATGCAGACGATGTTCCCGAAGACAACAGGTCACTCTTTACAGATGCGACGACCTTGTCGATATATCCGCCCGATGGCTTAGAGGTTGACGAGTCGTGGAAGATGTGTGCAGTAGTGTATACCGGAGTGTCCGGCGACGCAGCAACCTCAATGGCGGAGCTAGACGGGACATGTGAGGCTGTCCTGCAAAGCGACTGTATCAGACAGCTTCAAGTCGCCATGACTTACGGCGGCACCACCAAAGCCGGGGAATGCTCGAGTCCTGGCATCCCCATAAAGTGCGAGGGGCAGTTCCCCAACGGGGTGAAGGGCAGCGCTTTTGGTATTTGATTTCATCCTTCTATTTTCTTCTCCTCTTTCCTCTTATTTGCAAAAGGCTAACGTTCTCCAGCGCTGAGCAGCTCAACTATTTCGAGAAATCGCTTCTATGCATTTGGCGCACCGCCAACATCTTCTGGCAACTCGACAGCGCTGGAAGAGGCGACTCGGAACATCTGGCCAGTGATAATCGCATGGGGCCACCTGGCTGAGAATGGCGATTTTCAGGCTGTCAATGCGTACCTGCAATGCGTCCGGGCAAGCAACACGACAAGCACAGGAGGCGGTGGAAGTGCTTCGAATCCATCAGCCAGCGCACCATCGGCGACACCGAGTGCAGGAACAACGAAGTTAGGCTCGAGCAGTCGGTGGGCATTCGCTCTTGCGACAGCGATGGCTCTATGGCTTTTGGATATAAGGCTGTGATGTTGACGGCCCCAGAAAGTCCGGTAGAAGTGTAGCCGTGCCTCATATCATATGCACGATGCATGTCAGATCTCTCGATCAAAACATTGTCGAGGAAAATCGATATCTCAAAGAGTTTTTATGATTTTGTTAAATTAAAGGAGGATTGACCAGCCTGGTTCCCGAGCCTTGTTTAGCAGGTAGTTTGTTGACTCTGGGAGAAATACTGCTCTAACTTATCGAAGCTTTAATACTAAATTCGATTAAATGCTCTCATGTCGTTCCCAGAGCTTCAATTTGTTATATTTTGAGTGGAGCATTGGTGTCCCGACATAGTGCATATAGAGCGACTAGCAGGATAGATTGCTTCGTTGATAAAGCACAGTCACCTCCAATTTTGATGCTGCAATAGCCTATCCGAACCTCAGGCAATGTGGCATGCTCGGGTCGATGTCCGAGGACAGACGATTCTCATGTTCGGAGGCTTGGCACGATTTACCCCAGACATTCGAAGCAACCTCGTATTCTTCGAACAGGGGTTCAGTACATGGAAACGTATCTGACCCTAAGTGCCATACACAACGTGACAACGGCCAGTGATCCGACCCAACGCGGAGGATGACCGCGAAGAGCCTCAAACGGAAACTGCAAAGCTCGGAAGGCTTTTCTGCGGATATGGCTGGAAACCGACGTCGACGGGTTCGCATCACCAAGCTGCTTTGGGTGACAACTCAACAATGTTCTAGACTCGGCTTCAAACAGGGGCGGCGTGGCTGCAGACAGAGTCGCACTCGGGCAGACGCAATGCGCCGACCCCGCACCCATGTCTGGGGCCAATGCCTTCGCATGACGGCAGCAAACCCGAGGCGGCCACCTGTTGTTCTCTCTCCCTTCTTTTTGAGTGCTTACAGCCATGTTGCTTACCTTAAACAGACTGCACAGACTAGGTTGTCTTCGACGATCACCGGGTTTCATCCCCCGTCTCCATATTGAGCTCTCAGGTGCTGTCTAGAGATCTTATTTTCACCACCATGCATCCGTTTACTTCTTCACTCATTCATCGAGCCGGCTACAGTATCCAGACACGCGAGGCGTGCTGCTAAAAATAGGGGCGAAGAAGCTTAAACCACTAGCGCTGGTGGGAAATTGATGGTGCTTGGCGCTACCGCGAGATGCACCCCGCCAGAATGGTACAGTACCTCAGTACATACAAACACTCCCTCCTTTTTATTTTACAGTTGTCCCACTAGCGGAAGGGGTCCCGAGAACAGGCTCCGTAGGTGGGTAAAAACTTGACTGCTAGAGCTGCTAGAAATTGTCGAGCTCGTGTGGAAATTCCTGTGCTGCGCCAGGTGAGACAGTCCAGGAACGGTCCCTTAGATTGATTGAGAAATGCACCGGTCGCAAGTGGGAATGCCCGTGTAACTCTGTATGCCGCGATTTAGGGGGACAAGAAACCTCCTTTATAGATTTAGAGACACGGGAGAGGTTCCTCATTCAATTGCTTTCATTGATAGCAAACCCTTTGTATTGATTCACTACCGCTTCATAAGCACAGGGCTGTGGTGGTGGTGGTGTGTTTTATGACACCTTTCATTCCTCTGGTGAATATTCCGAATTGGTTAAATGTTCCTGCATGTCAGAAGGGCAGGGTTGCCATGTGCTCAATTGAGTGGCCAGGAGGGCCCCGAGACTTCCGTAGTACCAGTAGCATTGCTGAGGATCTTCGCCCGCGCCGCCCGTCACCTCATAGGCCCCTGGCCGATTGCAAACACTTTCGGCCGGAATTCTGTGGTCTGTGAAGCAGCCGCCCCTTATTGATCCGCTTATGATCGACACGATATACGGGCAAACTTTGGAATCAAGCATTCGAGAAGATTGGCAACACAATGCAATAAGCGTTTGAAAATCAGTCGTGTAGACGATAGAACCAGAACCAGGTAGTGTGGCCCAGGCGCAGCATACATGGGCGCCCGATGAATGAATCCGGGTATGAGCAACCGCAACCTGCTTCCCACAAACAGAGGTGTCCGCTATGTGCCGTGGATCGCGTATCGTTGAGGTATAGTGCCTGGCAAATGTAAGATGGTGGTGGTGAGCAGTCTTGCGCGCAGCCAGCAGTGTACACTAGATTTCTCCATCTGAGACGTCTCTAGACAGATACGCCACCCATTTTCCGGGTTCGCGGTTGGCGACACTGCCGGGCGGGTGGCTTGCCCTACACTCTCATAAACGTTGCCGAATATCAGATCTCGAATTCCTGGGAATGCCCGTGTTCTGTGCCCATCTCGTACGTCTCAGGCTCATGGAGGCGATGTGGTGGGCTTATGGTTAATAACCTTAGTTACTTAGGCTCATGCGGCCCCCCTTTCAGGCGGGATTTTGATCCCCTCCCAGATCCCTGGAAGCTCCCCGTTCCCACTCCACCAACCCGTTTTTTTTTTCAAGCTCAGCCCGTCGCATCACAAGCCCAGCACCCATTAAACATTAGCGCAGCCACCAGCCTATCCAGGCTTCCAACCAGGTCTTCCACGCCGTATCGGTAGCCACGGCCACCTGCACAGGTGCACCGGAGGCGCCCATCCCTGCCTCGTATTGGGTCTTTCGGCTCATTTCCCAGGCGGGCACTGCTTGTGCGCTGCTATGGCCAAGTTAAGGAGAGCACCAGACAAAAAGAACGCCTTTGCCAATTCTAGTCCTTCACTAACCGTCTTTTTGCGTGGCCATGCTGTCTGCGCATCCCAAATGATCCTAAGGCAGCGTCAATCTCCCTTCAAGATGCTGTCGCGACGCTCCCTCGCCGTGGTCGGGTTCGCCCTCATTTCGCTGGTTGTCCTGCTCGTCACATCAAAACGGCTTGGCGATTGGGGGTTTGACAGTCCGTATTACCACGGTAGGCCTCCGCCGCCACCAGGGCCGCCGGGTGGCCCTCCAGGACCCTCGGGACCACCAGGACACAAAGACCGGCCGGACCATGGATCGAAAAACGATAATACCAATGCGACGGACGGCCACGGCCACGGCGATTCTTGGGATTCTGGCATCATGGTCGGCACCGATGATTTGCCCCCACGGCCAGGACGCGATCCGCTCTGCGATGCATTCCCGGACACGTCGGGCATCCTTCTGGTCATGAAGACCGGTGCCTCCGAGGCATATGGCAAGGTCCCGACGCAGCTCATGACGGTGCTGAAGTGCCTTCCGGATTTCCTCATCTATTCCGATATGGACCAGCACATTGCAGGCTACCACATCCACGACAGCCTGGAGACGGTCCTGCCCGAGGCGATGGAGGGCAACTCTGATTTCGACCTGTATCGACGACAGAAGTCCTGCCCGGTCGACCAGGACAACTGCAACAAGCTAGGAGACCCAGCGTCCGAGGGCTGGAATCTCGACAAGTACAAGAACATCCACATCGCCGAGAAAGCATACAACCTGAAGCCTGATTACGACTGGTATGTGTTTGTAGACGCCGACACCTACGTGCTTTGGCCAAACCTGGTGCAGTGGCTGCACAAGATGAAGGCGTCCAGGAAGCGGTATCTAGGAAGTGTCACCCTGATCAACAACTTCAGTTTCGGCCACGGAGGAAGCGGGTATGTCGTCTCGCGTGCCGCAATGAAGGATTTTGCTGGAAAGAACCCGGGAGTTGCAAACAAGTACGATATTCGTGCCAAGAGCGAGTGTTGCGGCGATTACCTCTTCGCTCTGGCGTTGAAGGAGCATGCAGGACTTTCTGTAGAGCAGGTGGTAAGTGCAGTCCCCGTATAAGCTCGGACAAGGCGTCTTTTTGATGAACCCATCGCTAACGCAGACTCCAGTGGCCGACCATCAACGGTGAAAAGCCAAACACGCTTCCATTTGGGCCATCGCACTGGTGCCACCCGATCGTGACGATGCACCACATGAACAGCGAGGAAATCTCTAGCTTCTGGGAGTTCGAGCGCCGACGATACGCCGCACAGAACCTGCCCACCGCACCGCCCGTCCTGACTATGAAGGACATCTACACCGAGTTCCTTGCCCCGAAGCTGCAACACAAGCGCGAGGACTGGGACAATCTCTCAGACGATTGGTACTACCTGGACAAGGACTCGAAAGACCACGAGTGGGAGGACTGGCGACTGGGCCGCACCCGGCAGGAGTCTGACATGAACGAGTTGGAGAAGAAAGCGCACTTGAGCTTTGAGAACTGCCGCAAGGCTTGCGAGAGCGTGGACGAGTGCTTCCAGTTCCGGTGGTCAAATGACTGCTGTGGGTTTAGCAAAGCTTTCATGCTGGGCAAGCCGGTGAAGAAAGACAGCAACGAGAAGAAACGCTCAATGAGCGGCTGGGCCGTTGAGAAGATTCATAAGTGGATCGATGAGCAGGGCGAGTGTAAGAAGATCAACTGGCCGGGTCTTTGAGCGAGCCACATCCGAAAGGCTCGCAGCACCGATTTTGGGGTCAGTAACCGAGAGCGACGACGATTCTGCATCTTGTCGCCATCTCCGGGGAGAAGCCCTTGCGACGGGCATCGTCAACGACTCTGATAATTGGCCGCGTTGAGCCATCGATCATTCGAGCTCTGTACTATTGAAACACCCCAAGCGCGGCAGGAGTCATGCTTAAACCTCGTCACAACTTGACGACCAGCCTGCACTCCGCTCATCGCGGTGAACAAGTTGCGCTCTCTGTTCCTCCGACTTGAAACAGACAGAAAGAGGACCGGCAAGCACATAACTTTATGGCAAAACGACTTAGTGGAAATGCAATGTAGTGGCGTTGGTGGCTTGATTGATTCCATTTTCCTCATTACACGGACTTGCGTGTTATTGCATCATTTGGAACGCGGCAAGGAAGAAATAGATCTGTCACGGCGTAAGGTACCGATAGACCATTGAAGGCATTCCGGCCCGGACGGCACCAGCATACGAGGACTGGTGGGAGAGGAAGTCCCATCCGCAAATGACATATGTAATAAAATAAGAAGCAAACTGAGCGCTGCGAAAGGCAGGCTCGTCGATATAAATGTATGTATGTATGATAAAAGAAAAAACAGCAGGCGCCAGATTACGTACGATGCCCCTTTCCCTTGCCTCGAAATACCCGGACTGTGGGCCGCCGCTGCCAATTTGGAGATGAAGTCGTCGTAAGCAGGTGTTTTTGGTGCGCAAAGAGCCCCGGAATCGCTCCCGCCACGCGGCCGCCCTTCGGGGCCTTCGATTGCGGATTCGAGGGAAATCTGCCTCCGCCCCTCGCTTGCAAAACTAAAACAAAACAGGGGAATCACGGCGGCATGTGCTTGTTATGGCAATGCATCGCGTGCAGACCCGAGAGCCCGGTAGCCTATGATCGACAGCTATACCCTCAAGTCTTTCGCTTCTAATTGCAGTCGTCCTCGTCCTTCTTCCTGAGGTGTTCCCGACAAGTCATAATGCTAAGGACTACTGCTAAGGACTACTGCACGGCACTTGGGTCCCCGCTTGCCCTTGTCAATTGCCGGTGGTTCGGCACGCCAAACCTCTATGGTGGCCGCTGTAGGTTCAGCAAGCTCTCTAACACTTTTCAACCTCGGAACAGGACGAGACAGAATGACATATTCCGTAGTAGGAACAGTGCCTAGACGTTCGATGAGAGTCGATACGGGAACAGCAAGCGGTGTCTTCCTTGTCATCGTAATCCTTCATGTCAATTTGACCAATTTTCGATAGCCTATAGCTATGTTGCATTCGAGGCTTCCCATCACATCACAGAAAGCAGTAGAGTATTTGTGGGCACGTGAGTAATGCTCACTATAGAAGTATATCGCCGGAGTTAATTTTTCACGCCTAGATATGCCATGAGCATGTATCAGTCTAGACACTCTTCAAGTAGTGTTATTCATTCCTTTACAGTCGGCCTGTATGGCTCAAGGTTGGCTCCTCAGATACCCTACCCCGATCGGCAAATCAGCTCGTGGCGATTGAAAAAGCCCAAGGCGATCGGACATTACCAGTCATACCTGTAACGTAATGTCCGGCTACAGTAGGCGAACGGATACAACGTAAACGCCGTTCCTTGCGAAGCGCAATGTGCCGTTCAATATCTTCAACACTATCGCAGCGCGTCATGTCAATTATCGATGAAAATGAAATGCATGTTGGAAAAAATTACAATGTCTCTATTGGGTATCTAGGATTGACAAGGGGGAATACCTTAATGCTACACCGGCCGGAGTTCAATTGAAATGTGCGGCTGTTCCGCCAACCTGAAGTAGCCGCATTTCCCCTTACGGCAATGGCTACTCGGACTTTCCCATCTTTGAACCTCATGATAGCATGTTCTAAAGACAGACTTTCATTGTGCTATCATCAGTATTTTTTTCAGGATTCAAGACGATACGAATCCTTCGGTCGTCTTTGTGCATTATCGGACATTTCTAAGCCGACATGATTACTGCAGCATGTTATGCAAGAGGAGCCATTGGCTACCTGTTACGGCAGGTAGATTGCAACCTCACGGCGTCATTCGTGTAGCAAGCGCCGCGGGGAATCGAGACACTTCCTAACGCCCGTCTGCTTTGTGTATATACGCCTGCTTGTCTTTGGATAAGACTCTTCATTACTTCGATCATATCAGGTTGCTAGTATATTTCTTGCAAGAGACAAACATGGCCCTTGGCACCCTCAGGTTCGTGGACATCGCCAGCGCGGCCGTTGTTGTGGTAGGTTCACCTCAGTGTACCCCGCTTCGACGCTTCAGATCACTGACACCATACAGCTTCTTGTCTTCGCAGTCGGGAACTGTGTCTATAACCTCTTTTTCCATCCATTGCGAAAATTTCCCGGTCCTATTCTTTTCCGAGCGTCACGCCTACCCTGGATTAAACGGCTTATCGATGGAACTCTTGCACCAGATATCTTGGACCTAACCAACAAATATGGTCCTATCGTACGCATCGCACCGAATGAACTTGCTTTTATTGACCCGCAAGCATGGAAGGACATATATGGTCACCGGACAGGTAGTCTGGCAGGCGATGAGGAGATGTCAAAGTATGAGGTATTCTACACTAGGAAAGGACGCCCGCGGTCAATTTTGAACGAAACCCGAGATAATCACACCCTTTTGCGTCGGCAGCTCTCGCATGGGTTCTCCGAGAAAACAATGAGAGAGCAAGAACCAATAATTGGTGGCTATGTTGATCTGCTCATCAAGAGGCTAAAGGAGCGCTGCATCGAATCGAACCAAGACGAAAAGTTCCATTCACCGCCACTGGACATGCGCACTTGGTACAATTGGACTACGTTCGACATCATTGGGGATTTGGCGTTCGGTGAGCCCTTCGGATGTCTTCAGAATGCCAACTATCACCCCTCGGTCAAAGCCATTACTAGCACACTCCGAACTGGTGCATGGATGACCGCCGTAAAGTACTTGGGCTTAGATGGAGTAATCACAGCCCTGATGGTATACCTGTCCAAGTCACGCGGTAAGTTCGTGAATGACACACGGGAAAAGTTGGAGAGACGAATGGTTCTGGGTGTTGAAAGACCGGATCTGGTTGAGGGATTACTAAAAAGGAAGGACGAATGGGTGAGCAGACATCCCTTGTTTCTCTGACTGCCTCAACGGACTACTCATACCTGCTCTCAGAATCTCGATATGGGTCGTCTGCAAATGAACACCAGCATTTTGATCATTGCAGGCTCAGAAACGACTGCAACCTTGCTGTCAGGTCTGACCTACTTGCTCCTGACAAATCCTGATGCCATGAAGAAACTTGCGGCCGAAATTCGGACAACTTTCGAATCGGAAGATGAAATTACAATGGCATCGGCTGCCAATCTCCCTTACATGCATGCGTGTCTCAATGAAGCTCTTCGTCGATATCCGCCTGGCGCCTCTGGCTTCCCACGCGTCGTCCCAAAGGGCGGCGCTAATATTGCCGGCACTTTCGTACCAGAGGAAACGGTAGTTGCGGTCTGGCACTATGCGGCGTATCACTCGACGAGAAACTGGAGTGATCCATTCTCGTTTACACCAGAGCGGTTTCTCGAAGGCGGAAAGAATGAAGAGGATAAAATGGAATCATTACAGCCATTCTCCGTTGGCCCGCGAAATTGCATCGGCAGAAAGTGAGTGGGATCTATGTTTACCGTTGTACACTTTGCTAACTCTCATTCCAGCCTGGCCTATGCTGAGATGCGTCTCGTTCTTGCACGACTTGTCTTTAATTTCGACATGAGACTTGCAGATCCAAACAGCAAGTGGCTTGATCAGAAAGTATACATCCTTTGGGACAAGCCAGAACTCAACGTTGTCTTGACTCCAGTACGGTAAGATTTGTGTATACTTTCTGGCTTAACTCCTCTGGGGCATTCCATATGAAGTTACAGATCAGAGGATGCGGATTGACTACAGCATCAGGGGTCCCCAAGTTTTTTTTCGTCATTTGACAAGACAGTTGGGGTTAGACAAAACCAGTCATTTCAATGACAACGAGGTGCACCTTGTTGTCGCGAGAATCTCTACCAGAGAGCGTTCGTAATATACGACTTCTCCGTCTACATAATGGGTGTCAGCACAAAATTGATATTCAAAGTCGTGAGCAATGTCACAATTGCGGCCATTAGATATTAATCGTTTCGAATCCTGAGAAGCAGTATTTCTATTTCCGCAACTTGCTGTAATACTCATAATCACAAATCCATGGCGATTGTGCGCAAAACTTCGCATCTCTTGCTACAAAGGCTTTGAACGAAATTTTAGGAAGATTACCTGCCAGATTATATCTTTGCCCTCGGAATTATTTTACCACGAAGAGTGCTGATCTAGTGCGTCATGCCGTGTGCCTTAGCATTCTCAACTGTTGCCCAGTATCTCTTTGCACTTCTTTCTCGCAGCGTTTTGCCAAACTTCATCATCACAAACATGGACGAATCCCATACGAGGCCGATCGCGGCAACTGTAATGAAACAGTCAAGGCAGCCCTGGGCTTTGATCCATGGAGTAACCCTATAGCTAATTAGCTCCAAATTTTACTAGAGGCTGGCACGAGAGGGAGACACATCCCATAAGATAGCCGCCCCATGTTCTATAGACTCAGTGTTAGTGAGATGACCGTTCCATACGGAGGTGAGCAAGAGTACCGAAATCATTTAACTAAAATACGCGCTGACTGGCATCCGGTAGACCCACGTAGCCCGTTTCATCGGAAGCAGGCTTTTGATCTTGGTGATGCTGGAGCCGGAAGCACAGCTAACAACCTTGCGCTTGGTTGCGACTGTCTTGGTCTGATACACTACTTTCATGGTTTTCTCAATAATGATAAGGGAGAATCGGCTGAGACTGGTAACGTCATATGTCTTCATGAGCAGGATGGAGGAATTGGATGGAAACATACAAATCACCGGACCCAAGGTGTTTCAATCACACGTGCTCGAAATCTGGTGCTCCAAACAATTCTAACTGTTGGAAACTATGAATACATATTTGCCTGGCTTTTCTGGCAAAATGGCAACATCGAGCTTGAGACACGTGCGACAGGTATCCTTTCCACGTCTCTCATCGACCCCGGCAAAACTTCCGAATGGGGCAATGTCGTATCAACTGGTGTTCTCGCAGCTAACCATCAGTACTTATTCTCCTTACGGATCGATCCAATGTTAGATGGAACACTGAATAGTATCATTCAAGAAGAGTCAATCCCGGTTTCACAGTCCGAGGAGGAGAACCCGCACGGAAATGCATGGCGTGTGGTTAAAACGCCACTTCTGGTTTCGGGCTACGTAGACGCGTCGCCGATGACAAACCGGTGCTCCAAGATTGTGAACGAATCAGTTAAAAATCCAATATCTGGCAATGCTGTGGGCTTGAAACTTGTACCTCAACTGTGTCAGCTTTTACTGGCGGGTGAGAACTCGGTAGTCCGTCGGCGGGCACGCTTCGCGACGCATCACGTTTGGGTGACTAAGTACCGAGATGGGGATCTTTGGGCTAGTGGAAAGTGGACCAACCAATCTTTGGAGGAACGCGATGGTCTTGCAGATTATGTCGCTCGACAGGAGGATGTGAGAAATCAGGATATCGTCGTGTGGCGTACATTCGGAATGACACATAACCCTCGCGTTGAGGACTTCCCAGTTATGCCCGTGGAGATATCAACCATCTCCCTCAAACCGGCGGACTTTTTCACGGCGAATTCGGCAATTGACGTCCCTCAAAGTACACAGTCGGCTAATAAGAGTCAGCTGGTGTCCGAAGAAAAGATCCAGCATGCTATGAGCTGTTGCACAATTCGACACTCCGAATCACAGTCGAAATTGTAGGAAATCGTTGAATAAGTTTTGGTACAAATAGCAAATAGCAGGAGGAAAAAATTTAATAAAAGCACCTTTATGCCGAGTTCAAACCAAGCATCACGCTTGACACTACGATGAAATACAGAAGTTTTGATATATCTCGAGACTCTTGGGTTGAGAAATTTGAGAAACTGTAAATAGAGTTCTTGTTTCAATATGTAATGCGAGAAGGGCCAAAGACAACCAAATACATTTTATCATACTCAATAATACAGAAGGCAGACACAACCATGGGTGCATTAAAGAATGACTATCCATGGCTCTGCCATAACGGACGAATCTGTTCATTGCATGTGGAGTAACGTGGAGAATGGCCTCATATTGCTTGATGAATTTGATTTATTTTGATTCTGATCATTCCGTCAATTTTCCTAGTCTTCACTAGACTTGGCTAAGATGTTTTCCTGAAGAAGACTACCGAATGAACATTTGAAGGAATGGTACAGATTTTGTGCCTGCTCATACGGTGGCTTTCATCCATTTTCAAGTCTTGGACTAGAGAATGTGTCATAGAAGCCAAACCCGAAATTCAGAGATCAAATTTGGAGTTTTCTTTTCAATTTGTCAAATCCTTGTAGTTCATCATTCAGACATCTTCATGTTTGGCATCAACAAAATCACGTGTAATTTGATTGCTGTTGATTACTCCCCCCAGCATCAACCTCAACCTGGATTTGGACATCTTATTGTGATTTCAACCCTCTATATGACGTGGCGGTGTCACAAGCGCCTTACCTTTGTATCTTGGTGGGTTCGACGTGGCCGGTTAATGAATCAGCCCTCGTCATTGTGATGTGGCTGTGGCGAAACGATGTCAGATCCCAGAGTCTCCCGAAATTTCCACCCTCTGATAATTGGGCTACCAAAGACTTGTGAGACTCAACTATAGGAACCAGCTATAGCGAGAGTCGGTATATATATATATGAGTTTATCTGCCCATAGTATCTCATAGTTTGGCAACTGGAGTAATTTTGACGTCCGGCTCCTTTCTCATTCAACCTCAATGGCTGCGCCACTATTTGTCACACGACAGTACACCTCTGAACAGTTCGTGGAGTCTTGTGGTGCCGTTCTCTTTGATGTACCACTCCTCTCTCAGGCAGAAGAGCACCACCCAATCAAAGTCTGCTTGTTACACAATTTGGTCGACGACGTATGGGTGCTGTCTAAAGGGCGACGAAACTGCCACGAGTCTCGCCTTGCTGCAGCAATTCGCGAGACAAAAGAGGAAACAGGGTTTAGAGCGAAATTGTTACCAATGACAATTGCCACTCGCGCCCCCTCTTCACGCGAAACAGCAGACGTGGCTGATATTGCTCGGAGCTATCCAAATCTTACTGAGCCTTTCATGATGACTGTCAGGGAACTCAATGAAGGAGGCCAAATGAAGATAATATGGTGGTATATTGCTGTTGTGAATAAACGAGCAGCAAGTACAAGCGCGCGAGGAGAGAGCTGGTTTGATGCGGCTTTCTTCTCGGAGGAGGAAGCATTAGGAAAGCTTACATATTGCGCTGACAGGGATGTTTTGAATCAGGCGTTTTTCGTTCTGAAGCGCAATATGTAACGTGACAGACTTTCTTCTTCAAATTCAGCCGGGCATTATAGCAGGAGCTTATAAGGCATTGAGACTTGCAAAGAATTCAAACAAGACTGTGTGAATACATAATATTGGATAATAAATGAACGACGTAACGTGGCCTAATTGCTGCGCTCATTTCACTCCACTTAGATCCAGCAAGACAACTCTGAAATTGGGGTAAGTCAACCAGAAATTGCCAGACTTTCGGCTTTGAAGAGAATCCTAAAAGATCTGCTAGACAGGACTGCCGCTTATTCGTAATGCCGGGCCATGGTGGTTCCATGCAAAGTGTCATCCCGCTTGCCCAACCGTGGAGCGATCAGGGTCCTTTTATATTGAATCTGGCAGCGAAAGGCGGGGAGATTGTGGAGTTCCCGGCATTGAGTTGCATGAGTCGGGAGCAGGCTGAGAGGAGAAACAATCTAAGAGCGGTATTAGGCGAAGCACATGGCCGTCTCGACCCCGGATAATTCTACGACCCCCAAGTAAGTTGTCAAAGCAAGTGCAAGGCTAAGCTCTATAAACATGGACTAGGGCAAGAATTTTGATTCTGGAGGGCTTGAGATAGACCGCTCTGCAGTGACTAGAATACTCACCGGGAGTAAAGAGCTTGCCTGAGACTTCGTTCTTATAGAGATCGAAGCATTACAATGGCAATTCCTTCAAGGATGCTACTAAACCTTGCTTCAGTCCTAGGCTTAGTCCTATATCCCATGTTCTCACATTGTATCAATGCTGAGGCGGCAAGTGTTACTTCAGGACCCCTTTTCGGCGAGATTGCAGTCAAGATTGATGCGGCTCCAAGGCCAACTACAACTAGACGACCAACCACAGAACCGCTAGAGATCAGTGAAGATGGGAGCTGCGGAAGTGGCATAACCTGTCTCGAGTCGGACTATGGGGATTGTTGCTCGCAGTTCGGGTGGTGTGGAAACACAACTAATCATTGCGGCCTGGGCTGCGACCCTGAATTTGGATATTGCGACGAAGTGGAACCGGCGGCGACATTAACAGTCACCGAAACAAGCACAGTCATAGCCCGAGTAACTCGAACCGTTCTTTCGACGATTCTGACATCGATCACACGGCTTCACACCTCAACTATTTTTATACCACGGACGACTAGCGCAACTGTCATCACTATAGTCCCGCAGACTTCATTGATTTCAGTGACGAAACTTGTCACGAGCACTGTGGTGTTGTCCGCCACTTCGACGTCCTTTTTGAATGTCGAGAGAACAAGCACAGTACTGGAAACCGAGAAGTTGACCAGCACGATCTTCCAGCTGCCAAATTCGACAAGCATCATACTATCAACCTTGTTCACGACGCTTTCTCAAAACGTCACTAGCACAATTTTATCGACGTCAGTTGTACATGCGACCAGCACGTTGACAGTGTCGTCGAATCAAGCGTGTTTTTCCTCTTTTGCGAATACCACACTGCCACTGCCTACCAGGCCCGCCTAAGCGTATGGCTTCCGGCTCACCAATCTCAGAAATGAAAGCAATTGGCCGTAATAACTGGCTGGAGCCAGGAGGTCATAGGCCTTTAGCTAGGGCTATCTAGAGATCTACCTTTACGTGCCATCGATGCCAATTTTCCAAAGAGGAAATTGACTGATAAAGAAGCTGTTGCAATAAATCACTTCTAGAGCATCTTGAGACGCTTCACAATGAGCTTCTTAACAGATTTTATGGTGATTTCAGTGTAATCCTCGTTGATTCCTTTGCTGAATTTATTGACACAGTAGCCCTGACTTGTCCCTGATGGCTTCATATTATACACTAAACTCTCTTTTCCGATATTTCCCTTCGCTAAAATCCCTAACGTCCATGACTTATATCCCATTGTCCCAATGGCTATGCATTATCATTAAAGGAGTAAACAACATCTAATGAAGTGTGTCATGGCGTCAAATGTAGTCCTGCGTCGAGCGTCCTGGCAGACACCTTCGGCGGCACAGGGTATCCTTGGGGGTATCATTGCATATTGCGCATTTTTCAAACCAGTCAGATGGACTAACGCTTCGACGCTTGTAAATTCAATCAAGAAGTCCAAGGGACTGTGGCGAGTCCTTAAATCGACTGACGGAGATCAATCGTCTTGCTGCAGTTGAAGTAGCAGCTTGAATCTCTCTGCAGCTGACTTGTGCTCCCGGGCTAGTTGTTTGGGGTCGTTCGTCTCGTACTGGAAATTCCACAGTCTCTGAGCCTCGCTCATCTGCCCAGGCTTGTCCGTCCCCCAGTTGTCACCCTTTGAGCTCTGACCTCCGATGTGCTGTAGTAAGACAGGGCGAAGGGCCCACCGGCTGCCGATCTCGATGCCGTGGGGCTTCTCGTTGGCTAGTCGCTCTGCCAACGTGTCGACGAATCCGATCCGGCTCTCTTCGTACCATGCGGTCAATTTCTCGATCTTGGATGACGGGTACACAATGCCCTGAGCACAGCATCCGCCGCGGGGCATCTCGCGAACACCAGCTCTCGGAGGCCAGATAGACTCCTTGCCGACCGAGAAGAACAGGTAGGTAAAAAGCCCGAAGGACATTGCAAGAACAAAGAAGGTTGTCTTGGCGTACTTTGCAATCAACGGCTTGCCCCAGACGGTACTCCTGAGGTAGACGAAGCCGAGTATATACGCAAAGAGGATGCAAAGCCCGACTGACGTTGCATATGCGATGTACTTTGGTATCTCTTCGTCCCGCCAACCCTGACTGTGTTCTGTGTAGAAAAGACGAAGATAGAACCACCCATTCTCATCCTCCTTGGTCCTCCTCTCGATCTCGTTTATAGCGGCTCGCACCCTGTGAAACCAGCCGTCCAGAGCTAGCACGTCATCCTCAAGCATGAGAACATATGGAGCGTTAGTGGCAGCACACTCTCGAAGCAGGTGTGTATAGTCGCCCAGATGCTTCTCACGGTCTGGTACTCCAGTCCTCTGTCTTTCTAGCTCTAATTCTTCGATATGCTTGAGGTGCTCCGGCGTCATAAGCTTGCTCTCCTGATACGTGAGCACGCGGTCTGCCAGCTTCTCCAGCCACGGCTCCGTATAAATTGGATGGTCTGTGGCATTGATGTGTCCGATCATGGGCATGAAGAACAATTGGTCACGCTCCTCTTGCGTCAAGCCCGTGATCCAGCTCGCCAGAGACCAGCGTGCATACACGGCGCCGCTCGGCCTTGAGATAGTGTTCATACCGATGCACATCCATGGCGCCTTATGCGACTCTTGCCGGTGAAACGACGACGCAGTCGATGTGTTATGCTCCTTCACAAAGGCGAGGGCCTCTTCTTTCCTGATCGTGCTGTATATCGGTTCGTAACCGCGCTTCACATCGAAATATGGCGAGGTCGGATCCCGGTAGAAGTGGGTTCGGGCATACCACCGACAGAGGAGGTATATTGTGAGAGGAACGAGGAACACCAGTAGATGCGGGTTGCGGGCCGCTCTACGGTAGATTGGTTTCGCAAGCATCTCGACAGATTCTTCGGCGCTGAAACTGGGGCGGTCAAATCGCTTCCGAAGGAAAAGACTTTGCAACGGTCGACTGGGTCATTTCCTCGACGGTGCTCTGATTCATTTAGAGGACCACATGTAAGCCATATGTCGTTAGCGATATGATCGTAAAGCAAGATGGTTTGGAATCATTCTATGGGCGAAATGTTCATGATTCCAGGAGAAATGAGAGCCCAGAAGCCTCGAGACCGTAGAACAGCGCGACGCAGTGTCAGCCCAAATCCTTCGAAATCATGCCCTCTTGGCTCTTGGCGACTGCGCCGCATCGTCAGGGGTCACTAATTGGTCGTTCGTATTAGGAAACGCACCGTCTGCACGCAGGCCCTCCACAGGAGATGCGGCACCCCGCGGAGAGACGGCGTGCACGGGGTGGCTTCGAGCAATTCACGTCCATTGGCGGACGGGGATTCGGCAATGATAGGCCCAACTAGGCCCAGACGGCGTGCCATAGCCTGTAGGGTAATTGACGCCCCAGAATACGAGGAACATCCCCTGAAACATTGCACGATGAGCAGCCATGTAGGATCTTGCTGCCTGGATGATTGGCGTCTGACAGACTCTTGGATGGCAGATTTAAGATGCTGTTGGGTTTCATTCGCATTATCTTCATCAGTTGCTAAAAAAATTGACGGGTCGGGAGACTGGCAGACTTAGGCTAACGAATGTCTGATCGTTGCATGTCTCAGAGACACAAGACCTGATTCCATGTGTGGCAGGCATCGCGCGCTGTTTTTGTTTTCTTCTGTGGTGTGGCGCCCCATTGAAGAAGCTTAAAACTCAACGATCTTAATTTCCCAATTTTAGGGCGGGTCCTGACGTCGATAAAACAGGGATCAGGTGTTAGTCTCACGAAACTCTTTTCCACAAGGCTCTGCATGGTCCAAACAAAAAACACCATGAATGAATTTTTGGTCAATAATCATCGTGACAATTCTATTTTCTCTTGAAGTCATTGACTTTTCAAAATGCAAAGATTGATCTTGCTCGAACCAAGCCTTATTCTGCCGATGTCAAGGACAAGAACCACAGTACCTGCTATTTTAGTACCAAACTTGGTGCAATAGCCTACTGCCGCTGTAGGTAGGCTATGTGTTTTTTTTTTACAAACCATCATATCCCGCCTGTTCTCTCGTTTTCTTGTACCATTATTGAACGTACGGCAAGGTCACATGAGGTCCATATGGGTCCTTCTCCCACTGAGGCTGTAAAGCAGCGGACCCAGTCTCTTCCGTGAAGCTGGCCGTAAGCTCTTAGGGGTGCCGCCACGGTTGTACAGTTTTGATGTGTTAGCAATGCCCGACATGCCACATCGTGCCAGGCTGGTCCACAATTGACTGGAGGGAAGGCATCCGAGGTGATTTTGATGATGATGAGATTTGGCTTGGCATAATGACAAGTGATATGACTTATCAGGTTCCGCGACCAGACTTTCTGATTTCTTTGATCCGACTACTGCAGTAGCACCAAAAGTAAGCCCAGCGCAGCGGATACTGGAACGACAGGTGGTGTTCGACTCGGGGCTGCGGCTTCTATGCTGGTGGAAGAGGTTGACGTTGGTGTTTGTGTCGGCGTAGAACTACTTTGGTTTCCAATGACCGTCGATGCACTTTGAGTCGACGTCAGAGCTCCGGATGCTGTGGTGTCATCGCTACCAATCTGAAGGCACGACTTCCAGTTCAAGCAATACTGCCTCGGTCCGCAACACTTCGTGCCGCAGGGAGTTTGAAAATCTGCAGCATCACAATCGCTGGGTGTAGCTAGGGCTGATGCGGTGGTCGGGCTGGGCACTCCTCCGCCGTCTGTGGCCGAAGCGATGGAGGCAAGACTCTGCGGATTGAGCGTGACACCCGGACACGCCTCAAGACAGGTCCGCCATTCTTGGCCACTGTTCCAGGCGGCCTGGTAAGGTAATTGATGATATGAGCATTCCCGTGCGCAATTATACGAACTGCACGGTATTGGGCCAGCAATGTTGAAAACGTAGGCACTGAAGAAGTGGCCCAGACCATAGGAATTCTCGTCGTCAGGAGCCTCGGCCGAGGACCAAGGGAAAGTGCCATTGGAGAGAAAGAATAGATTTGTATATTCCGGTATGCCGAACGGCCACGATCCGCTAATGTTATACGGATCAGTTGAAGTGCCTGGGATGAAGGCAAGTCGGTAGTAAAGTCCCGAGGGACCTACTGAAGTGGGGATTTCAAAGGAGTCCTTGAGCTTTGAGAGAGAGGTAATGCCAATGGTACAAACAGGCCAATTGCTGATGCTGTCGTATAACATCACTGAGACTGGAGATGTCAGGCTTGACAGGTCGGCGTCGCTAGTGAAGTTTACCGGAGTCAGCGCGCCGGCGGTCACGTTCCGCGCAATCTCGACGTTCAGCGTGTTGGTCTTGTCCACTTGGCCGCAGGCAAGTCCTGCGAGCCAAGCAACGCCCGCGGCGGTGGCGGTACCTGTACGCCAATGCATATTCGCCAAAAGGGGGTGCGGCGGGCTAGGAATCGCTATTTCTGCATCAGATCTAAGCGTGGCGCCGTGGTGCGTCCAGGCCAGAAGCGAAGCACACGTACAGGCTCAAGTGTCCGATATATCAATTCGACGTGGATGTGCAGAACTTGGCTCGCTTTAACCCCCTCTTAGATCAGAACCCTCACGGTTGGAGCCAGGAACTCGAAGAAGATGAGAAAATAGAAAACATTTCAAACGTAGGCAGCCTGGCTCCATAATTAGCGGCAGTGTGGATGCTGGAAACAAGCTGTTCCTCTTTCGGTAACCTAAGTGCCGCACGCGCTGTGAGGCGCAATCTCATTTCGCGATTTCAGGCCATCTCTGCTTTCAAACAATTTGCTGACTGGAAAGTTTGTTGCTAAACATTTAGATCCCCAGAAAGAGACGACACACGAAAGGTACTAAAAGTAGCAAAACTACAATGGTGTTAGGCCAAAAGTTTAGAATGCAAAGATTGGTTGACGCCCAACATGATGAGAATTTGAATCGCCATTATCCCATGTCTTCATGTTACGGCATATATGTTATAAAGACAAGCTGCTTCGCGTTCTTGTTAAGTCAATGTATGACATTGAGAAGTATTGAGCCATGTGAAACAAAACTTTGCAGCTTATTATATAATACGCTCCTTGTTTTCCTCGTTGATATGAAGTATACAGGCAGTAGATGACCCCAACGCCGTGTCTTGCCCAAGTTGTTACAGACATTGCGAATAATAATCATTCTGAAATCGACAATTCGTTCCAGAAGGGCAGTTACCACATCCATTCCAGTTCTTCCCAGCACATTGGTCATATTTCTTGGCTCCACATCCACTGGTTTGGCCTCCCCCTGCTTGACCACCTCCTGTCTGACCTAGGAAATTATTATGTTAGTTCCCCAAACAGAGAATTTTCACTTTGTAAGCTGTGAGAGCAATATAGAAAGTCATACCTCCGGTCGTGGTTCCACTCATCAGAGCTGGCGTACCTATCTGAGTGGTCTCGTCAATCGTGCATATGTTTTTGCAACTGCCTGAGCGAGTGTAATTCGGATCGGTGTTGTTGAATACTACGTCGATCCATTGGATCTGCAGATATGCAGCCTGATTGATAGTCATGTTCCCGCTCCAGGTTCCACCATCACTCCATGCATTGAGCATGATCCGGCTTGGATCTCTTGGGGCCTGGAAAGTGATAGTTGATGACACTTGACCGTTCACGAACCACGTGCTGGAACCCGGGGTCCAGTCAAGTCTGTAAAGCGTCCAGTCGCTCCATCTTCTACCACCAGAAAGCGTAACATTACGTGTTGCCTGTGGGACGGGATCTCCGTTGGTGTTAAATGATGGTTGGTTTGTATAGGAGACGAAACTGGCAGGATCGCTTGTGCGAATCTCAAGGTCAGCCTCTTGAACAAGAGTCTGCTGCTCAGGACCAGGCGGCGGACGATATGTAAACATTGCTGTGACTGCGCCAGGTGCACCTTTGGTTCTTGCTAACATGCGTATTGACACATACTGGAAGCCGGACGAGTAGGATTCAATCTCGGCGGCCGTCTGAAATGTCGGGAGCCGTGCCGTTCTCATGGTCATATGGGTTTGTGAAGATGTCCCTGAATCCTTGTTTCGCTCGATGTAGATGTTGTTGGGCGAATGAACCATCAAAAGAGTAGCATCGCTAGAGTCATCATCCGATCCATTTGCTGGAGGTGTGTAGCTATTGTTCCAATTCTGCGCTACCCAGAAGCTGGTCCATGATGGATTGGTGAAATAGTCTGCTGTCGCTGGAGCATCGGCATTCGACGCCGCATCTGGAAGGACAGAAGGTTCCTTGACGTATTGTGCTAATGAGCGAAAATCGAAAAATCGATGGTGTGCAAAGTAGTGAGAGGATGTTGCATTGGTCTTGTAGCAGTTACAGGTCGAGTCTGTGGTCAGGGGATACGCCCCGTCCACCCCTAAAGCCCACAGACTGAGACCCAGTATCTGGAACTTCTTCACCCAGTTACCGTGATCAAACATCGTGGTGTTGCTGTCAAAACTTAACGTAGGCACCAAGAGAGAAACCTTCGTCTACAGATCGGCAGAGCAAGTCACCTAGAAAGCGGAAGCAGGACGGCACATTTCATATGCACCTCAACCTCGCCCGGGCGAGCATCGGCTACGCAAACCATTTCAGCAAATCCGGCGGGGAAGGCGACGAAACCAGGGAATCGTGGCGAAAGGCACATTCCCCGATTATTCGCAATTTTAGCAGTCGAGCAAGCCTTCGAGGCAGTCGTCGTCAGCTGTTAGATGTTCCTTTGTGGAATATAACGAAACAATTATATGTAACGATGTTGATTGCTAGCGGAGCTCGCTTAGCCGACGAGATCGATTTGAGCGACATGGCCAGTTCTGGTTCGCCCGGCTCTTCGTTCGTCTTTTATTCAGTTGCGTGCCAAGACATTTACCCGCAAACTCCTTGATTAAGAGTCTGGGGTACGCAAGTAGGGTTTGACCTCTTTAGCCGAGCCTATATACGTTCTAAAATCTTTTCACGCTGCTCTGTCGGCATATGAGAGTCCGTTGCGGGCACAGAAACAGACCTATAGGTCGCTCGATTCATGAACCTCAGATCTAGTTGACTATGGTGGCATGGCTCTCAGCATGTCTTTTTTACTCATTATCGAGTCTAGTCAACTGCTAGGGTCAAGACGTTGGAAAGTGGTGTTTTCAGGAAGCCCAGCGGCCAACTCTTGTGACCCAAATCGCCTCACTAGCACATTTCCTGTGATGTTTAGTTCCCCAAGCCGCTCGCAGAGTTCTGACATCCCCCGGTGAGCCGTCGAGATCTATGTCTGCTTCCGGAAGCGTCGAAAATTTCAAGGCACCTAGATACAAAAATTTCAGGGTTCGTGGCTCTTGAAGCGGATGGGTTGTTCAATATTCGATTATCGCTTGGGGTTTTCGATTCTTATAACTCATACAAGGCCGCGGAAATTTCCGATGTGTAGTCTTTGAATCTTCTGAAAATGGAAGTAGGTATCTCAAACAGCTTGTTTGTGATATCTTCGGTACTTGTGTTCTTGGTAAGCGCGGCGTGAATCCTAATGCTGTGCCTCAGACTGCTTTGATTGGTAAATTAGCTGTGCCTCCTCAGCCCTAGAGCGAAGGGGTTTAAAAATATTCCTGGGCCTTGTAACTTCGCCTATTACTTAGTCAAAGAACAGGGGAGCCATCTCACTGGGATCCGTTCTGCTCGGAAAACTCATACCAACAATGTCCAATTTGGTGTGTAGATTTCAGCTCTCTGCAGCCAGCAGCATAACGGTAAGCTGACACAAGCTTGGCGCAGGCAAGCCCACAAGATAACAAGCCTCAAGCGGCCGCAGGGCCACGCTAAACATGGATCTGAGCAACAACTCTAATTAGCTGAACGGCGGGACCGTTGCTGCTCGTGCTTATGTGTGGCCTCGCTTCTGATGGATAGACTGCATAGTAAGCCACTGCGGCTTAGGGGGCAGAGGCTCAGCCCGCCATGACCTTTGTTGGCTTTGATTTCTCGTTCGACGCCGTACGCCATGGTGATTAGCGCTGACATGGGCTGGATTACCAGACGGGTCAAATTTGTATATGAAGCATCAGTTCAACATTTTCCTGTCGTTTTGCTGTCGTTACCCAAGTCTTGCTATTTGTCTTTACCATTGATCGCGTTCGTCACTGTTATCCTTTCCTTAATCAAAATGATGTACAAAACTGCTCTAGCTTTTGCCAGCTTTCTTGCAGCGGCATCTGGTAAGTCAAATAGATACCAAGAACCAATTCATTCCCTATGTTGTCGAATCATCGCTGACTAGACGGTTCGTAATTAGCTCTCCAGATCACCGAACCGACCCTCAACGACAAACTCGACTTTTCCAAGACCAATACTATCAAGTGGAGCTCGGTAGACACAGATCCCGACTCATTCGAGATTGTCCTGGTAGACCACTCGTCCTCGCCGCCAAGTCAGTTGACTATCGCCGATTCTGTTAAGACATCGGATAATTCATACTCGTTCTCAAACTTCGTGGCTCCTGTGGGTACAAAGTACCAAATCAACTTTCTCGGAAACGAAAAGACGAATTCCGGCATTGTAGCACAATCCCAAGAGTTTGCGGTCACAAAATCAGGGGGTAAGCAAATGTGCCCTTTGAACGAGGCTTGACATAGATAATCTGACCTTTATTATAGTTGCTCCTACTACCACCACATCGTCTGGGCCTACCGCAACGAACTCACAGGCTGCTGCAAGCACAACATCCGGAACCAATGCGGCGGTCGCCAATGGTCCCACCTTCGGTGTAGCTGGTGGAATCATCGGTGCGCTTTTGATGCTGATCTAAGCACGAATGCTAGACTGTTCTATGCGCATGTTTACAGAGGCACAAATGGATTGAAACGTTGAGGAGTCTTTCAGAAATCATGTTCATCAGCACGGCGTTTTGTAAGAGCGGCAATAAGTCTGTACAGGCTCGGCGTAAACTTCTGTAGATCGTCACCGTTTCTCTGGATAATCATAATTAATGGCAAATCCTTTTATTTGAGCGCGCAGGTTTCAACGTCATAGACTGGCACAAACATGATAAGGCGCCTTTTTGCATTCGGTGTATAACGGTCAATCTGTAACATTTGGTGTCCTTCTAAGGGATCGCCAGGTTGTTACAAACAAGTGCTTAACGTGTCCTATCGCCACTTGAACGCTGCTTCAAATGAAGTTTGAAGGATCCGCTGAAGCGCTGCCTAGCGACCATCACTCGGGATGTCTCGGTCTCCCTCCACCTTAGGTGTCTGCGACACCTGTGATGCTGAGTGCACGCCCTCTAAAACATCGGCCTGGACAGCAAGACGAGCTTTTCTCCACTGTGCCATTGTATCTAAGCAGAAACTCGATAATTCCCACGCAAAAATGATGGGCAAGGCTCGACTCAGCCGATTATAGCAGCCTTTGGACCAGATTTGAATGAGAATTTCCCAAAGGCTATGGGCCGGAAAGATGTATCCAATTCTATAAAAGCCCACGCTTATGTCAAAAGGCATGACTGTACTGGTAATATTCAGTATGATCCAGGTAAAGGTGAAGAAAGGAATGAAGGGCATGGGCAGTGTCGCTGCCACAGCATCAAGAACCAAGTAATTGATGTGCATGACAACCCAAAGGATCATCCATGTCTCTAGTAGTTGTACAACGCCAACAGACCAGTCTTCTTTGAAAGCCCAAATGTACGCTACCGACAGGAGTGCGCCAACAAAGGTATATGTTATGGAAAAGGCCAGCCGGATAACAATGATTTTTTTCGCGGGGACGTTCACATAAATTTGGAAACCGTTGGCAATTCCGTTTGTGGCTAGGACGAAGAAGAATTGCATCAAAGTAAAAATAACAACTGAGGCAGTGTTGTAAAGCACGCGCGTGCCTTGTGGTGTTTCTGCGAGATTGGTGGATGCGTAGTCGATAGGATTAAGGAGCACGCCTCGACTGGCTTCGTCCATGATATTAAAGTTCTGCAGGATCGCTGTGAGATTGCTGGCATAGTATGTGGAACGAGTAGTCGCAAATAGCAGCTGCATGTTGCCGTAGATATTGGCCTCAGCAACGACTGGATAGCGCATCTCATTCCAAACCAAGACTATGGCTGAAGTTGGATCGTAATCCTGAGCAGCCGAAGCCTCTATTAGAGCTTGTTTGAGATTCAAGGACGCATTCTCTGTTGCATAGACTGCGGCCCAGTAGTCCCCTCGACAAATAACGTCTCTGATGGTCGTTGGGTCGTCGAATCCCGAGGATGTATGTTCGTGGATTGTTGGAAATGTATCACCGGACAAGCTCGCTACCGCTTGTCTCAAACTTTCGCCGACGACACCCTGGTCATAATCGACAAACAGAACATCGAGCTGCTTAGTGTGATGACTACTCCGAAAAAGAGCACCATAGAGGTAACACAAGTTGCCTAGGAATAGGATTTGAAGCAAGACGAAGCTTGAGATCACTGCTATAAAGAAGGGCTTTCGGATATTGCTCCAGAAGGCATTGCGGGAAGACTCATCATAGAACGACATCTTGGTGTGAAGCAGAAAGAAAGCCAAGAGGATGGAAGATAAGACCTTATAGTCAATGAGAATGGAGACAATATTAATCAAGGTAAGAAATGGAGCTGGAGAGGCGGCGCACACTGTTGCTTCCCAGCTGTCCCAAGACACTGGGGAAGAAATAAAAAGCACTGCATTTTATATCACGAACGATAAAAACACCTGTAGTAGTCTAGCCGGGGCGGAATCAATGAGTGGTGCTCGCTGTGCGCATGTGTTCGATGGAAGCTATGTAAGAAGAGAGAAAGGGGGAGAAATAGAAGAAATCGAGCGCTTCTAGAGCTGGGGGCTTCGTGAGGTCCATAATGATTTCAAGGAGTTCATACTCGGCCCTTAAATGGGTCCTCTGCCGAAGCACGCTAACTGGCGAGTGGAGCCCCTGTGGGCGACAGATCCACCAGGGATGTCGCAGCGTCACACCGTTTTTGATTTGTTCGCGGCGCTGGGGACATTTGGCAGCAAGTATAGCTCACAGGAGGAACGCTGTGATCAGTCCAAAAACCTCATCATCATAATTTTGCGTAATGTGGTGTACCGACATAATCTAGGTCACAGCTTAGTACAACAGAATGGTTGATGCTTTTCAGGTTTAAATACTCCTATGTTAAATTTCTAGTAAAGGTGTATCACATTACACCATGTATCAGTGCCATGGCCAAGATGTACCAGCCTTCACATAACAAACGAATGTGAAAATCCCGACCACCTCCGCAATTACTATGCTAGTTGTCGTGGATAAGCTCAAGGCCTCAGATCCAGAAGATACAACTGAACTCTGAGACATTGAGATCGTTGGCGGAGACGTACCTGTTGCCATCCCGACAGACTTGCAGACGGAGATACTTCGGCTCACTACCTTCGGATCAATGAGGTGAGCTGGGTGAGTCTTGCTGCTATAAGCTCACCTTGGTCTGTTTTCTCGGGTTGGCCGAGGTGATCTCCAGGTGATCCCTATTAAAGCCTTCTGATTTCGTTAGGTAACCAGGGGTCTAGTTACAGTAATGCACCACTTGGGGTGGTTAACAACTATCGTGGTGTAACACCGTTATTGCCAATCGAAGGCCAGGCAACTTATATAGTTATCTGGTAAGGTGTTCTATTTAAGTTAATCAGTACTAAGTCCTACTACCAGATAGCTAGGGAAGCCATCCTACTGAAGTAGGTTGTAAGAAGGCTAAGGTCTAGTCATATATCCTAGGTAAAGAACAAGTGGAGAGGTTATTTCTCAATTAACCCCTAAGCTAGATATAGATAAGTAGTAAGACTATCACTTGCCGATCAGTCTCTAACTAAACAATAGTAAGCGATTATATTAAAATTCTAGATAATTACATAGATCATAATGTACTGGCTTGACCCATACAGGGAGATGACTATCTAGGCAGGGGTAGATAAGCACTTGCATTTTGGTGATATAGCTACGTCGAGGTAGGTAGCATATATCTATCTTTGATGTTGAATGGGAACTAATTCCTGTGCTTCAGGGCTGAAGGTATCCATTCATTGTTGAAGTCACACATCAAGGCTTCTACCTTCCACCTTTTCGACGTCTGGCAGGCGATTAAACACGCCATTGTGAACCAGCTAAAAGAGCTTGAACATGTATGAGTTACTTAGCAGCTGCGAATCGCCCTTGATATCTCTGGAGTGCTATTTGAAGCATTACGATGTTGGGCTTCGCACCATGCCTTGCGGAAGGTGCAAGAGCAATGACAGCTGCTTCAGAGATCACCTTAAGCTACTTGCAGTCATGTCTTCACGTCTTCACTTGGGCTGCCGTGGTCGCACACATTAAAAATATTAGAAGAGGAGAGGCAGAGCCTCTTACTTGAACATTTCCATCCACGTTGGCACTTGAAACGAGATGTGGCTCAGCCACAGCCTGTGCTAGAACCAGACCGAGTCGCAAGCCACCTCACCCAGAACCGCATCCTTCCAGAGACAGATGCATGGCGTGAGCCCTCTGGATTTGAGAGAATCGAAGGCACCAGGAAAGTCCCAAGCAAATTCAGCAAATGTCACGCCGTTGGCTACAAAATGACCTCAAAGAACTGTCCCCTGTGATTAGAGTCACCTAGGGAGGTATCAAGGGAAGAAGTAGATCAGGCTTAACCCCGGGACACAAGTCCACAACCAGACTCAGTTGCTGTTCCCATTAGTCCAATAGAGCAAGCCCGGACGGCCCAAGAGGCGACTTCATCTAGCAGGGTGGTCGAAGTCTAAAGAATTCTATCGGCACTCTCCCTCCATTGCACCTATGTTCTTGATTGCATCATCCCCCGTATCCGACAGCTTGACTCAATCTACCTTCACTCGTGTTGCTATTTCTTCGTATCCAACAATTCTTAGTAGCTTAGAGGCAGACATCACAATATCCACGTCAACAGAATCTTCGGCCACAATCCCAAGTAAGCTCAGTGTGTGGACTTTACTCGTCGTACACCGGTAACCGCGAAGCATTTTACTGACGTAAATGATGGCAGTTCATTACAGCAAACTTGCAGAGCGAGCTCGCTAGAAGCTCACCTAGATACGCTACTTAAAAAAATCTATAAGAACCACTTTAGGTAAGTAGAGCCCCAAATGATGCTATAGTAGGTAATCTAGATGACGTCTGTGATTTTAGATAAGCTATCGATACTATAGCTAATGTAAGCTCTTTAAAAAAGAAGATTACTCTCTATTGAAATCAAACTAATAACCTTTTTACTTTATATCTTAATATAAGTCTATATCTTTATTAAATTTAATTATTTTCTTATGAATTCTAGCTATTCAGTAAGAGTCATAGCTCGACTCTTGACCCTTACTCGGACTCCTTTACTGTCTAGTCTCGGCGCTGCAACAAAGTAGTCATGTAAGAACTTCACATCATCCTCATCAGTTTCAAAAAGCTCCATATCCCACTGTGCTATCACAGAGAGTGCAAGGCACAGCTCTGCATTGGCAAGGTGAATCCCAAGGCACTGCCTTGGTCCCTTATTGAAGGATAACAGATATTTACGTCTTGACGCACCGTCTGATCCTAGCCATCTTTCGGGTTTGAAAACCCATGGGTCCGGGAAGATGTTCTCATTCGTATGCAGGACAAGTGTCTGTACGCCCATGACCGTCCCAGGTGGATAAACGTAATGACGGTCGGTCGATTTATCAGCATACGTGATATGGTTGTCAGGATCGATTTGTGGATGGCGTCCCGAAAGGCCAAAGAGGAGTCGGTGAGCCTCCGTGAGAACGGCATTGAGGTAAGGAAGCC